TCTTGCTCCTCATCTGACTTCAGTTGAAAGTGGGCTTTTACTTAAAATCACAATGCACAGTATTGTGACTGCAAGAACATGTGAGAACTATAATGCTGAGAATTTGTTCCTGTATTATTTCAAACTTCTGAACTTTGACCACCAAAATTTTTAATAATAATCCAATTTTTAAATAAACACTCAGATTTGCTCTTATATCCCAAAGATTAAGCATTAATTTTAACATTTGGCTCTTCAGCATTCAGCCAAAACATGAATTCAGTGCACCTCTTCAAAACCCTCCACATGGCTTTTGGAATGAAAATTAAATCCAAACTCCTTACCACGGCCTACAGGTTGCTACCTGGTTTGGCTCTAATCTCAGCTTCCAGCCATTGTTCATACCACTCTCCTCCTCCCACCATTCTCTATTCACACTTGTCTCCTCCTTTCTGTTCCTCCAATGCCAAGATTTTTCCCTCCTGGGGCCTTTGCTTTGTCTTTCCCCTCCCTTTTCGTATTCTTCAAATCTCAGGTCAGGTATCACCTCCTCAGAGGTCAACCCATTGAAAGTAATCCACCTCCCTCTCCATCTATATTAATCACATTAGCATGTTTTATTTCCTCCATAGCATTCATCTCTACCTGAAATTATCTTCTTTTTTTAATGCTTATTGTCTATCTAGACTAAACTGTAAATTCCATGAGAGAAGGAAGTTTGTTTTGTTCATTGCTACATCCTCACTACCTAGACTAGTGCCTGGAATTGAATAAGTGCTCAAAAAACATTTGTTAAATAAATGAACATATAACATGACATTCAATAAGCATGCCGTCTGTTTTGACTGGGTCCCCAAAAGACAACAGATTAGGTGCCAAGTACCGCTACATCCTAAAGCCATGTAAGATCCCTACCATGTACATCCCTACCATGTAAGATATGCTAAGAATTTGTGGCTCAGCATTACTCATCACTCATCTCCAGGCCAAAAACCGGGGGGGGGGGGGGGGGGGGTTAGGATATAGATACTGGGTTTCAGTGGGAAAAGAGGAAACAAAAACCGGGGGGGGGGGGGGGACTGATAACTCGGTAAGAGTATTGCTTTGGCGATACCTGATACCTACCCACACCTCCCACAGCGAGAAAGGAGATGCTTCCACTTACCCCAAACTATGCGAGAGGAGCTTTCAGGGAAACATTTGGAAGACTTGATACATGTCGCCTGGAGTCTGAGGGAATACAGGGACCTGGAATCTGATATTCTCCTGAGAAAACCAATGGCAGAGTAGAGAGAGAGAACACTGAAAACAAGCTTCACTTTCACCAACTGTGGATAAATGAGTTTTTTCCAGGGGAAAGTGCACTGATGTCAGCAATTTACTTTTTTTTTTTACTTTTTTTCCCCCCAAAGCCCCAGTAGATAGTTGTATGTCATAGTTGCACATCCTTCTAGTTGCTGTATGTGGGACTCAGCCTCAGCATGGCCGGAGAAGCGGCGCGTCGGTGCACGCCCGGGATCCGAATCCGGGCCGCCAGCAGTGGAGCGCGCGCACTTAACCGCCAAGCCACGGGGCCGGCCCTAGCAATTTACTTTGTTATGCACAAAAAATAATACGGATTAATGGGCAGATAGAGGGAGGGATGGATAGATAATGTGATAAATCAAGTGTAGCTAAATGTTCCCAGGGATTGGTAGGAGAGAATTCTTCCTGAAGGCATTTTAAAAGGGATCCCAGCTAAGAAGCCTGCCTGGCTGAGCTCCCAAGGGATCAAGCAGAGGGTTGAACCCTCAGAAGTCCAAGGGATGAGGGCTACGGTCCTAAGTGGTTGCCCACAGTGACTTCATATATGTCATACATCCAAGACATCTGAGAAGCTCTGCCACCCTCCCCTTCACAACCCAAACCTGGAGGAATCTAAAAGCTTAATCACTGAGTAGTCAAGGTGGAAGAGGTGGAGATGTAAAAGGTAGAAAACAAAATGAAAGTGGAATGTGTCATGTCTCTCAACACAGGCTTCCATCCTGAAGCACAACTGAGCTGGGGAAAAGGAAAAGCTTTAACTTAGACTGAAGTTTGTGTGACCTTCATTAGATTTCATCCAGGGCAGAAAAAGAAGTAGCCCTCAGAGAATTTGAAGAGACAGTCGAATAAAAAATTAAAGAAGTCTGTGTTTGCATCCTACTGAATCCTGCTCTTTCAGTAAAATGCACCTGTCTAACAAAACCCAACCCTGGATGAAAGAATCCTGATTTAATATCATATCACATGTTCATTTACTAACAAATATTTATGGAGCACCTGCTATGTGCCAGGCATTGGTATAGGTAGTGAGGATACAACATTTGATATAAGTAGAGAAGTTCTACCCACTGGGGGTAATGATAACATTCCATATCTTGATAGAGATTTGGGTTCCATAGGTACACACATTTGTTAAAACTAGAATTCAATATTTATTTATAGTTTTTTTCTTTTCATGTACAATTTACATATAATGACACGCACAAGTCTTAAATACATATACGTTTGCTGAATTTTGACAAACGCATGATCATCACAACTCTGCCTCCCTCCATTGTCAGCAGATAACCTTGCCTCCTACTTCACTGAGAAAATAGAAGCCATTAGACAGGCATTCCCTCAACTTATAAAAGTATCTGCAGTCCTGTCTATCCTTTCTTCCTTTCCTCCTGTTATCGTGGACATGTCCCTACTACCATCTGAGGCCAATTTCTTCCCTTGGTTTTTGTATCCTATCCCCTCCAACCTTCTCAGAAGCCTTGCTCTATTGGATTATCCTTCTCATCCTGAACTTTCATTTCAAGGAATGAGCTTGTTTAAGTATCAATGCTGGATTCTCTCTCTTACCTCAGAGTCCTCACACATGCCATTTCCTTTTCTTAGAACAACTTTTCTACCTCTTCTCCCTCACTTATCACAATTCCTACTCACTCTTCAGGTATTTGTTTAGACACTATTTACTTAGATATGACTTCCCTCACCTTCCACCCCACACCATGGTAGAACCTAATAAACTTCCTTTTTCATGACACTCGGCTCACCTGTAATTACTTGTTCTATATATGTCTTGCCCACAAGACAAACATAGTCTCTGCCCTCACAGTGTCTTATTAACTGCCACACCTCCAATACTCAGCATAGCACCTGGCACATTAAATATTTGTTGCTGAATGAAATTAATTAAAATTCAATCATATAATCTATAAAATGTAGTATTTTTAAAATGTCTTCTTTTTCTTCACAGATTTTAATTTTTTATTCTAATAGCTATTGCCATCTTTTCTAGGATTGTGTTAGGTAAGAAGGGCATTATGACATTTTTGTTCTTATAATTTCTTATAATTCTGTTCTTAAAATTTAAATGTCTTGTACATAGAAGATTCTCAACGAGAACTATTTCATAGTCATAAAAATCCAACAATGTGGAAAAATCCTTAGAGATCCTATTCAATTTCCTCAGATCATTCCTTAGAAGAAGAAAAAAACCAAAGCACTGAAGTATTTTTATGACTGCATTATTACTGCATTATTATTATCTTTTTACTCAGATGGGGGTAGCTATGGCTAGAGACCACCAGTGGGGAGACATTCTGAAAATTCAGAGTTCTTTTTATCTTTCAGTTGTGAAGGAGGATGATCATCTGTTAGTTTACATAACTACATCTTATAAATAGCTTAGTTTTCCTGAGCAAACCTAAATTCATTCAGCATTCAGTGATAGACACTAGGAACCTAACATTACGTGAATTGCTCGTGTATGTAACATTCATACATACATGTGCAATTTAGACACATAAACAGGTATAAATACACACACATGCACACACTATACACATAAATATAAAATTTGAAAAGGCAGAAGAGTTAATAAAACTAAATAAATGAGAGATCTCTATCTGCAAATATGTTTCTCCTTACAGTTTCTACTGCCAGCCTTGATGTAAGTCTTGTTGACCCAATGTAGCTCCTTTCACCAGGTCAAAATACAAATGTAAGTACAGTTAGGGGCTTCACAGATCAGCTTCTTCTTAGAGTCCTATTCAAATAAAACCAGACTAACAACTCAGACTCACTGAAAAGGCAATTCATATCCTTACTGATGTCTCCTGAAGCATGACAAAGCAAACTGCTTAAAATTCTCTTCCTGAGCTGTGAATCTCCACATAGGCCCCCAAACAGAAGCCACCTCTACTCTCTTCCTTCACTTAAGTATAATGTAGTTTATATAGCTTTTTATTTTACTTCCTCACCCTGGAGATGACCAGCAAGCAGGAACTCTTCCGGGAAGGGGTATGTGTTGGAGGGTGTGTCTGAGGAGATACCCAGAGGGAATGTGCCATGCTTACCAAGTGTCCAGTTTTACGGCAGTCTCTTTCCTCAAGGAGCTATGAACTGGAGATAAAAGGAACAATCAGTAAGTACAGTGGAAAAAGCAACATACCAGAGCATATAATCACCTGTTGGGCAGTGTGATACAGACTCTAGGTAAAATTTGGGGTTCTGAGATGGGCGACATCAACTGCTGATGAGCCTAGAGGTGGGCCTGGACCTGGACAATGAATTACCTAATCAATAAGTATTTGTGGAGCCTCCTGACTCGGTTTCTCCCTGGTGGCCCTTCTGTGGTATTTTCCTTTACAGTCACGCTTCCCTTTAGCTGGGTAATATAAGGAAGTATCATATGTATAGTGGGCAGCTGAAAACGTTTCCAACATCACTAAGAGGTAGTTTGGGATAATGAAATGGTCTCTGAAGACTGGAACCCGGTGTCCTGGGTCCCGAGTGGCCTGACAGTCCTTCAGTTTAACAGTCCAGAGGGGCAGTTAAGTCCTGAGCAAAGCGCAGAGTGGTTCGGGGCACCTGCTGCTAGGAATTACCACCTGGCCTCAGCCTCCAGGTCGGCCAGCTCTGGTTCCCGCTACCTCCCGCTCAGGCCCTCTGCCGTCCCTCGGCCCACTCCCTTTCTCGGCCCCCTCCCCCTCCTTTCCCTTCGCTCGCCGCCATTTCCGACTACGCCTTCCGCCCATTTGGGCCCTCCTCGGCTTCCGTCCCAGATGATCCCTCCCCGAGGCTGCTGCTGCCGCCTCCTCCATCTCCCGGAGCTGGAGGCACCTCCTTGGCCAGTGGCGTAGCCGCACTTTGTGTCGAGGCCAGCCAGCTAGGGGCGGAGGTCCGGAGCCTGGTCTCGAACGGAGCGGGGGGCCATGGAGAAAGCGGCCCGAGGCGCTCTCCACATCGACTAACGCGGGCCCGATACGGCTGCAGGCGCCATGGACCGAGCCCCCGCAGACCAGGTACGCGGTCTCGGGCTGGGCCGGCGGGCGGGGGTTGGGGGTCGCTGCTTCCTCCCGGACGGGCCCTGGTCTCCGAGCGTGGGCCCGGACGGCCGGAGCCCTCGAGTTTCTGCGGGCGCAACCCCCCTTGCCTGGGAGCCTCGCGGCTCCCCACTCTCCTGCATTGTTCCAGATGCTGCCTCGGGCGTGGGGGCTTTTCCAGCTCTGGATACCCCCCGCCCTGGGCTGGGGACTCGATTTTGCCCTTCCTCCTTGGCTTAGTGAAAGAGGCCAGAAGATTCCAAGTTGTCCGTGCTTCCCCGAGAGGAGGTTTTATAACTTTCAGCGAATTCCACCCCTGTCCCCCCCCGCGCCCCATCCCCTTCAGTTCTGGAATGTGTTCTCAAGGTGGAAAGGCTTTTGGAGTCTTCTTAACAAGAAAGCCTGTCAGAGAATGTGTGATAACTACAGATGAAGGGGGGAGTATGAGCTTTTTTAGATCTACGTTTCATTGAGCGAAGCATTGTTTTACAATGGTTTTAGGGAGGTGTTTCCTTTAAGATATGAAATACTACGGTTTCCCCTTGCCCTTCTAATTATTTTGCAAAAATTAGTATTTTTTGAAAATCGAACTTATATTTTAATTGTGTAGGATCCGAAGCGTGAATTCATTTGCAAGCCTGTTTTCATAGTCGCAAAGTAGTCCCATTTAAATGTTCTATTTTGTTTTGAATTGCATCAGATTCTTGATTATCCATGCTAGTAGGTGCTGAGAGGTGAGGATGATGACAATGTAGAAAATAATCTAAAGTAATAGTTTTTTTTCCCTCCAAAAGTTTCAGTATTTTGCGTTCTTGAGACTATGAAACGACTTAATTTGATGAAGTCGAAGTTTATTCACTGTCCATTCGCCTTTTCGTGGGAGGACTTTGCCCAGTGATGAACTAGGCAAACAGATGAAGGAAAAAGAGAGACTAGTGATTCGCCTAGTTATTTTACAAATGGATAATTAGCACCTGCAAAAATAAGACAAGATTTTTCAAATTCCTGTATATGTATATATCTAGGTGGTCAGAGCCAGTTCTGATTTTGGAATCGGGCTCTTTTAGCAGGCAAAGCACAGCTTCCTAGTTGTGTATATTTGTTTTTATAAAAGCTTTGATTAAAAAAAAGCTTTATGTGAATTAGACTCTGAAAACACAAAGGAGTTTTCTGAAACAATACCTGGATTTACCAAAGCAAAATGGATTGGAGCCTCTTGACAAATGTATACAGGCTTTCCTGCGACCTAGAGTATTCTATATACAGCCTATATCCAGTTTAATGAAAAACAATTTTTTGAGTATCTGTCAAAAATGCCTGAGATGTCAAAGCCGGACAGATGAATAGGAAATTTTCTTGAACGATTTTCCTGTATGTGTGTCACTAATGAAAGGGTTAAACATTTTGGTCCTTCCCCATGATGCCAGAACTGTAACCAGTAATGCTACCATATGTATACTTATGGTTCCTTTCATCCTAGAGGAAATATAGTTAACTATTTAGTTGGTAACTTTTAGCATAGATGTTTGTGTGTGATTATCTAACAGCAAGTGCTACGGAAATTATTTAAACTAGAAAGCCTTTTCTTTCATCCTACGTCTTTCCAAAGTGCACAACCTACTAAAACCTTGAAGAAATTTAGGGATTAGAAAAAAATCATGAATGTAGATTTTCTGTTGAAGAATCTTTTCCTTTTTTTCCCTGCAGTACCTCCTGCCTGTTCCCTAGCCTAATCCTAAATGAGGGCACAATTTGAACCACCCCCTTTCCCCGTTCCACCCGCCCCCCACCCCATACTCACAGGAACTGAGATCCAGAAAACTGATGCTGCTTTGCCTAGTTCTTGCTGTAGGCAGTTAATTCAGGGGTCCATGGATGACCTGGAAGGAGTGTGCTTCATTTTATGTTAGCATTTTTCTGGGGCAAGACTCCATTATTTTCATCATATTCTCAAAGGGATCTATCATTGAAAAAAGGCTAATAAGAACCATTAACTTAATGGTAGATTAGGGGCTAGAACTGAGATTTCTCAATTTTGTGGAGTTCTTGATTGTTTCCACTATACCATAGAGTAATGTGCTGGCTTTTCCAGGTTATTTGGAATATACTTTTATATTTTTACGAATGAAGTGAATTTAGATAGGTAAAAGTCATTAAAAATATATGTGGTATGTGCTGAATTTTCATTTCTCCTCACAAAGTGTTTTCTCCTTTTAAACCAGTTTTGGTTTATATTCAGAATTTCTGCACATGCTTACAGCATTAAAACTTACTTATAATCTTGTAGTGCTTAGCAATTCATAGAAGTTTGATTTTTAAAAAACGGTATTTAATACAGATAGGGGAAGTGGGGAATGCATGGTGAATAAACTTCAACTTCATCAAATTAAGTCATTTCATAGAGGTCTCAAGAATGGAAAATACCGAAACTTTTGAGGGGCAAAAACTATTGTTTTAGATTATTTTTTACATTGTCGTCATCCCTGCCTCCCAGCACCTACTGGCATGGGTAATCAAGAATTCGACGCAATTAAAAACAAAATAGAACACTAATGGACTTGCTGCATTTCATCCTAACCTAATTGAAATCCTTGGAGTATTGCACAAGTGTAACTTTTAAAAAATCAAAGTGTATTTTGCCTGAAGGCATTCATGTTGCTGTTCTTGACTTACCTCTTTTTTTTGTTTTAACATAAGATCTTTGTGTAGAAGGATAAACTGTGTAAATGTTGATCAAGATTATGAAAAGTTACTGGAACGTGTGCTAGAGAATAGCCTTAATTGCAATAATGACTATTTGAAAGAGTGTTATAACTTAGAGAATCTCAGGAGTATTCTCTTTTGGCAAGACTGTGTTAAATCAAAACAAGTAGCTTAATTTTAACTGCCAGAGTTAGATGTTCTAAGAACAGATATTACGTGGTATAGTGCATTTTTTTTTTTTGCCTGTAAAAGAAAAAGCTGGAGTAAAGGGATGTGAAGAATAAATCATGGAGTTCGTTTTGTTTATAAAGGCTTAGTGTTTCTATTTTTAGGAAATTTAGGACAGTGTTTTGAGATTTTTTTAATAAACAATGGCCTTAGAAGTGACAGAACACTTAGATTTACAGTCTCTTTTGTATTATGAAGTAATTTAAACATTGGCTTAATTTTTAGTACATTAACATTAGATAAGTTCTTTTAAAAGAATTTACAAAATTATTCATCGCTAATGTCTTTAACTCTTAGAAAAGCAAATGTGTAACAAATACATATGACTTCATGGAAAGTGCTCTTCACCAATAAAGATACAAAATTATCTGGCTTATAATTTTTTCCTTTAAATAATTTATAGACTTCAGATTATATCAGCACTGCAAGTAATTTACTATAAAATAAGTAATTTACTATAAAATGTTTTTTATTCAGTAATACTTATAGTTGGCCTTTATGGTTATAGGTAAATGACTGTCTTAACAGATTTTAAAAATAATACTTTTATAATCAAAAAAGAAAGTGAATAATGCTCATTTAGTGAGAATACCATTTGGAAATTTAAAAAAGCATTTTTCCCTAAGCCTTTAAATGAAAGAGTGAATAAAAAAGTAGAATTATAGGTCATTGAAAAGTATTAAAATACTGCATATGAAAGTCTGTGGGATGTGGCTGAAGCTATATTCTGGGGCAAATGCCTCGTCATAAATGTTTTTTAAAAGCAAAATAAAAATTAAGCATCCAAGGCAAGAAGTTATGGAAGACCTCATCAAAGCAAGAGAGAAAGTAAATTAAAAACAGAAATTAATAAATCAGATAACCCAAAAACTAGTATTAAATTTAGAAAGCTGGTTTTTCGAAAATACCATCAGATTTTAACAGGATTAGATGTGGTCTGTTTTAAGAAAAGGGGGAAAATGTTTGGATAGCAAAGCAAGTGGGCAGAGTCTAAATTAATTCTTTGATTTTTTTTTTCCTCAGTGTTTTCTGAAGTCTTGCAAAACTTATGTATATATATATATATATATAACTACTGTAGTTTGTTTTGGCAAGTGGTTTACTTTCAGTATAAGCAATTCCAATCAGAAAACAATACAGCCATCAGGTATCTCTTAAGCATTAATCATTTTTTCCTTCAGAAGACATTTATTTTATCTTTGGCCATGAGATGTAAAACATCTTAATGTTTGATATATCATATTTTTGCCTTAACATAGAAAGAATGTTGAGGGTTTGCATGGTTATATATTTTTTCTGTAGGTGTGTGGTACATACTGAAATTTCACTGTGGGAGAGTGCCTTACTATGTTCTGCTTCAGTTGTGATTTTAAGTGGGTGTCATTTTTATATTGCTTAATCTGGGAAAATTATTTGCATCTTCTGGAGGTTCTGTCTCAGAGGAGTTTAGTGTGCGTTTCCTGCTGATGTGTGCTTCATAGTAATGTTTGCTCATTTTCCCTAAGCCAGTCTAGTTTAAGTCTAGCACCTAAACCAGGTGCTCTTTCCAGAACATGTGCTCCATGCATATTTGTTGAATTATATAGACTCTCATGATCTGAATGCATTTGTTAATAAACTCTTTTAAACATAATTTTATAGTTTTATGTTCTGATAAATTCTTGGGTTTTCTAGATTATTCACATCAAAGAAATTATATTATTGATGTTTGTTTTAATATGCAAAATTCAAAATGAATGTGAAACTACTTGTTTTTTTTCCAAATACAGGTTTCTGAGATTATTATGATTTTTCATTAGTTTGGAAAATTTTAAAATAATTGCTGAAAGATAAAGATAATTTTACTATGTAGATAGTTTTTTTTTTAAGGAAATAGTAGTACAGGAATAGACTTTGTTCTGTGTAGCTTAGACTTATTCCGATTTATATTTTCTCTAAGGAGACAATTCTGCTATAAAAAATAGATCTTCGCAAAAGTAGAGAGACTAAACACAGAAATTCAAACTGAGGAGTGTCATTGTATGAAGTAACTGGTCTAATTTTTTCATAACATTTTGTTGTCCACTGTGTAAGACATTGTTCTTTGATTTCTGTGCTTACGTGATTGAAATATTGCCAGAATCTGTTACTTACTTAACATATGGTCTGTATGGGCTTTATTATGTGGAGTTTTAAGAATAGTTTGGGATCTTAACATTACTTTTCAGGCTTGAGAACAACAGGTGCTGCATTTTGATGTATGATACTGAAGGCCCCAAAGTCACAATAAGCAACTTTGAAAACCAGACAGAGTTGTAACTGCAGGGGAAAGTTTGCCAGTCTGTTCCTACTAGTGACATCTTCTGTTTGTGCAGCTGTTGACTACAGCAGCTTCTCTTTTTTGCTAAAAACAAAGGATCATTTCAGTGTTTGTGAGTTTTATTGTTGAACTCTGATACCTAGAATTGCACTTACAATAGAAACCAATACAAACCTAATATTTAAGGGTATATACCGTGTATATGTGCAGACAGTAGTTGTAAATTATGCATAACACTTTTTGTACAGTGGATTGCCTAAGATCATAAAACTCTTATAAAGTGCAAATGAAACTAGGTATAAAAAACTTGTTGCAACCTTGACTTGAACAAGAATTTGAATTTGTTGTTACTGAAGTAATTTATGAGTTGGTATTATTTTGCAGGGGGAGGGGTTGTCAGGAAAAGTGTTACTTTTAAATTATCTTATTTCTTTACAATTATATTAGTATTGTTCCTTTGTTCATATTAGACTGAGAATTTGATGTAACCATATTCCTTGCTTTAAAAATAAAATCCTACTGTCTTCTAGTCCAGGTTTATAAAACTGTTCAGAGAGTTCTCATATTTTCAAAAGGACTTTTTGGTTTTTAAAAGAAATTCTAAAAATGACATGTTTAGGGGGCCGGCCTGGTGGTGCAGCAGTTAAGTGTGTGCGCTCCACTTTGGCGTCCCCAGATTCGCAGGATTGGATCCCGGGCGTGCACCAACGCACCGCTTGTCAAGCCATGCTGTGGCGGCATCCCATATAAAGTAGAGGAAGATGGGCATGGATGTTAGACCAGAGCCAATCTTCCTCAGCAAAAAAGAGGAGGATTGGGATTGGATGTTAGCTCAGGGCTGATCTTCCTCACAAAAAAAATAAATAAATAAAATAAAATAAAATCAGCAGTTGTTACTTCTTTAAAAAAAAATTACATGTTTAGCGTAGTTAAAATGTGATTTAGGTTTTCCCTCTTATGCATATGTATGAACTAGATAAAGCAGGTTTCCATTATCTGTGCATTATTGTTGAAAATCAGCTTTTTTCCCCTAATTGGGGAAACATTTATTAGGTTGATATTTTATACCTTATATAAATAATTTTTGAGTTCTAATGACTATTACAGTGAAAATTACTGACTTATGCTATTAGCATTTGAAGCAGTTTCTGCTTCCTTTTTGTTGAAATTCAAGAAACCAACTTCAGTTCACAGATAGTTTTGTAAGTGCAATTACTGTATCTACTTCAGATTTGGTTAATAGTACAAAAGTAGACTTCAAAGTTAAACCAGGTTGGGAGGAAGGATATTGAATTAATACTGCTATAGAGTTCAGATTTCTTCTCCCTCTCCCCCCCTTAACAAGCATTTCTGAATATTGACAGTGGACTCTTTTTAGAGAACTAATTTTCTGAATAAAGGCTGTGTATTGAGCATATCAAGTCTTGTCTTTAGATTTTCTTGGATTCATTACTGATTACTTTTGTGAGAAACATGCCTGAAATTTATTCTGAGAACTGTGCCTTGGTGGGAGCTTCTAATAAATGCCACCCTAGTGGATTTGTTGGGATAAAGTTCTAGTTCAGACTATTGCTTTGAGGTAATTGAGTTGAGTGGTTGAAACATTGGATTGCATTTCACTTACTGATTTCTTAAAGAAGTGTTTAATATCTTTTTAGATTGTAATATTTATGTGGTTTTTAACATTCTGCTTTTGCAGAATGTGCCTATAGATTTTTTTTCTTTTTATAATTAAAATTTTAAATTTGTTGTTAAATATAACAAACACAGAAAGAAAACTGCATAAAACCAATGTATAGCTAAGTGATTTATTATAAGGTGAACACCTTGTAAGTATCACCCAAGTTAGAATATAGAACTTGCCAGGTACACCACAAGCTTTCCAGGTGCCTCCTCCCAATCACAAGCTCTTTGCTAAGAGTAATTCCTATGCTGACTTTTATAGATCTTATTTACTTTTCTTTATAGTTTTGTCACCCACATGTGCATCCTTAAATACTTTTGTTTTTTTAATGTCTTTTAAATCTCTATAGATTTATTATAACAAAAGATACAAAATAAACTAAAATGTAATACATATTCTGCATTAGTTTAGTTTGCTCTACATGTCTACTGGGAAACTAAAGTACTCATTTTTTTCCCAGTTTAACTGTGAACCAGAAGTTCTTTTCCCCTTATGTTAGGTAATTTTTTTCATTCATCTTAGACATTTTCCTTCCTATTAATTTAACCATGCTAATCTAATTTCCTGAAATCAACAGAAATAGACTGTTTTTTAGACTATTCAAACAAATATAAAGTAATTGTTCTTCAGAACTCTGTTTAATGATTTTTTTCCCTTAACAAAATTAGTCAAAAACACATTGTTTTGTCTGAAGAGCTAGATTTCTTACTACCAACTTTATTTTTGGACTCTTGAGGTATGACTTCCGTGTTCTCTTGATTGTTTTAACAGCTTTGGTTACATAAGAAATGATTTCATTGAAATGTAGTAACTTTTAGTTTTTCCCTATTTTATTTGATGGCTTTGTCTAAATAACTTAATCATATTTAATTATTTTAATTTGACGTTGCTGGTCCTTTGGATGTTTTTTGAATTCTGAGAAGAAACCTAATTATTGTTTATAAAGACTGACTCTTCTATTGTTAAATTGTGAATTTATATTAAGTTTTTTGCTCATTTGTTAATAATGTGTTTCACTTTCTTTTTGAAGAATGTCAAGCTGTCAGCTGAGGTAGAGCCATTTATTCCCCAGAAGAAGAATCCTGATACATTTATGATCCCTATGGCACTCCCAAATGATAATGGCAATGTTTCTGGTGTAGAACCAACTCCAATTCCCAGTTACCTGATTACTTGTTATCCATTTGTGCAGGAAAACCAGTCCAATAGGTAATTTGTTTATTATTATTTTCTTTTTGGAGGGTACAGGGGGTAGGAAAATACAGAAGTTGGCAAAACATACTTCTTAATTTTTTTCCTTTTATAACTTTTAAACATTAACCATTTCTTTATTTTTTCAGAGGAGTAAATAAATCCAAATGATGTAGAAATTTGGAAATTCTTAACATGGATTATTTTCTCATTCTTTCTAACGGGAAATGGAGTTCTTTGGATATATCTTCTATAATAAGTCATTGAGATTTGTTTGAAATTAACTCAAAGGGAGGAATGAATTATTCAGAAAGAGGTGAACAGAAACTCTTTTTTGAGATAAGACATCTAATCATAATTGCCAAGACAGTCTGGCATAAGAAGAACATACCAAGGGATAGTACTTAACTTCAAAGCTTTTATGGTTAGCCTATATCTTTAGACTCTGATTCTAGTTTAAATTTAGCTTATATGCTATGTAGTCACAGGGTGACTTAGCAAAATGTTTACAATTCAGATAACGTGTGACCTAGTGGTTAGGGTGTAACTTGTGATAGTCACGGTAGCCTTTCTATGTTTCTTTCTTTCTTTTTCTTTTTTCTTTCTTTTTTTTTTTTTTGTGAGGAAGATTGGCCCTGAGCTAACATCCACGCCAATCCTCCTCTTTTTGCTGAGGAAGACTGGCCCTGGCCTAACGTCTGTGCCCATCTTCCTCCGCTTTATATGGGCTGCTGCCACAGCATGGCCTGACAAGCGGTGCATCAGTGCGTGCCCGGGATCTGAACCCGGGCCGCCAGCAGCGGAGCACGCACACTTAACTGCTATACCACGGGTCTGGCCCCACGATAGCCTTTCTAACCCTGCTTAGACTGTCTGAATGTTTAGCACTTCATTGATGTTGTTCATGTTATTGCTGTATAAAAGTACATTCAGCCTCTTTCAAGTTATATCACACACAGAAAATTATACTCCTCTAGGCTCTGCCCAACTACCCCTGAGGGCTAAGGCAATCAGTATTTCTGCATCTATTTCTATATCTATAACCCATTGTGGCACACTAATGTGCCAAGGCACATTCTTTGAGAAATTCTAGATGTATGAGATAGGAGACCACTACAACTGGCTTCTCAAATATTAAATATTCACATAAATAATCTGAAACTCAGTAGTTTTCAGGATTGGACAAACAGTAGAAGCTAAGGGATCCTTCTCAATTGAAGTTAGCATTATATTAAAAATCTTTGACCTGTGTTGGACTATGTTTGAAGTGATTTGTAAACTAAATTTAATAATACTATTTTTGTCTTTGACAGAATGGCCAAATGTACAGTATGATAAATTTAATTTTTCTTACCAAATAATCTTTGAGAATTCATGAGTAAGCCAGCCAGTAGATTGTTTAAAAATATTCTTAGAATTACGGCATTGAACATTTTTCCCTTTTGCTTTGTCATGGGAATAGTGAGGAAAAGCTCTGTGCTCCAGCTCTCCGTGACCCCTCGTTTGTCAGCAGCAACCTTGTGCGAGGAGGACTGCTGAGACAGGAGGAATCTTGCTGGGGCATCATAGAAACTGCACTGGAAGACGCTCTGATGCTAGGGATAAGATGGCAGTGGCCAGGCTTGTCTTTTTCTTCTTTTCTTTCCCTTGGACCTGGAGCCTGCTTCCATTGCCAAGGAGGGAGCCAGGAAAAGAGCTGGACTAGGCCAAGTGGTTAGGGGAGTATGGGAGAGGAGTAGGAGGCCCTGAGACTGAACTGAAGTATGAGAGGTAGAAGAATCAAATCACCCGTTATAATGATCACCTTACCCAATGATGACCTTACCCTGCTTTTTGCAGAAGGCTGTCGTAGTTGTTAGCATTGGATGGGAACTTTGGATTACCTCTGTTGGCAGATCCAACAGCTAGGTGTCCAACTTTTAGGCAGAAATATCTTGAGGAGGTTGAGGGGAGAGTTACAAATAAGAATGGTATGTACTTTTAAAATTTTGGAATGCAGTAAAACTATCAGGATGAATTTCTGTATACTGTCTGTCATTTAAATTGTTATTACGTGTATGTAATAATCTCTAACTATAGCAAAGAAATTTACAAGATGGTAATTTTATCTCCTTTTTCAGAATCATTATGAAGCCACTGTTCTGAACTGTTTTTTCTTTTGTTAAAATGAGTTAAGAGATTTTGTTTTAGCATTACTTTTAGACTTGTCAATATATTTGTTCTTTTTTGATTTGGTTTTACAGACAGTTTCCATTATATAACAATGACATACGATGGCAACAGCCCAATCCAAACCCTGCTGGACCATACCTTGCCTACCCCATTATATCTGCTCAGCCACCTGTTTCTACAGAGTATACATATTATCAGCTGATGCCAGCACCGTGTGCCCAAGTTATGGGTTTCTATCATCCTTTTCCTACACCTTACTCCAACACCTTTCAGGCTGCAAATACTGTGAATACTATAACCACAGAATGCACTGAGCGTCCAAATCAGCTTGGACAGGTCTTCCCATTGTCCAGTCATCGAAGCAGAAATAGTAACAGAGGGCCAGTGGTACCAAAAGTAAGTGGATGATTTTAATTGACTTTTATGTTTGATATTTTTGTTGTTAATAATAGTATAAGTAATTTGCTACTTATATTGATCAGCCTTTAATGCTGAATTTACTATAAAACATTTCATTCACTATTAAAAAATAGTCAAAGGTATAGCGTTTATAAGTAATTTTTCCTATTTTTTTATTCTTCCTCATTCTTAATTGGTGATATAATTTATAGTCGTCAAGTTCCATCAGAGTTTTACATAAACATAATGCATAAATATTTCCAAATTATTTTAATTTAGTGATAAAAATTGCATAGTGACACCAGTATTAATAAGTGGTTAATTTGGAGTCTGTGCTAGCAGTGTTGAATGGCTAATACAATTCAGGATATTTCGGTCTTCAGAATTCAGCAGGAGATATGGAAAAGAACATTTGTGATTGATTAACTTTCTTCAACTTCATTGTTTCTATTCTTATGAATTTTTAGTAGGAATAGCAGTTTGTTCTTCAAAGGATGCTTTACCGTATTAAATGAACACAGGGTCTTCTAGGGCTGAAGAAAATGAAAGATAAATGTGTGAAACCACCTTTAGCCAGGACCAGCCTTTTGACTGGGGGAAAAAAAAAGACATGAAGGCCTTGAAATCACGAGAGAATTAAGGTTTATTCTAGGTAACTGTTTCTTAACTAAAAGGTTACTATTCTGTTGAGTCCTTAATATCAGAGGAAATGGGAGAAAAACCATCTTAGCACTTTTGAGCTAATAAAGGCAGGGTGACTTCTTAGATGCATCTTATGACTGTATCATTAAGGAGCTAATGCTTTCCTAGATTCCATTAGCTCAGCTTCTTCAGTGAAAAGTCTTTGCTGTCTTCTGGCATACTTTTTACAAATTAAAATACAAACAAGCAACCTCTGCTTTTAGTGTTCATTCATGGAAACACTCTGGATCAAAGGAAATCATTTTGAGACCTCTGAGAATCAAAAGAAATAAGTATTGAAAATAAGATAATAGTACATAACTTTCAGATGTTGAAGAAACATGATTTCTCATAGTGCATTACCAGCACTTGAATTTAGGAAGTTAAATTCAGAGTTCTATTATGTAATTTGCTATTAAATGATGAATACTCATATTTTTAAAAATGAAGGAAAGGATCAGCTATTTTGTATTTTCTTTTTAAACTCCAAAGCAGAAATTTCTTTTGTACTTCATTGCTATCATAAAACTAAAATTTGGGCCGGGCCTGTGGCGTAGCAGTTAAGTGCGGGCACTCCGCTCCTGGCGGCCCGGGTTCGGATCCTGGGCGTGCACCAGTGCACTGCTCGTCAAACCACGCTGTGGTGGCGTCCCATATAAAGTGGAGGAAGATGGGCACAGATGTTAGCCCAGGGCCAGACTTCCTCAGCAAAAAGAGGAGGATTGGCATGGATGTTAGCTCAGGGCTGATCTTCCTCACAAAAAAAAATAAAATAAAAATAAATAAATAGTACTAAATTTAGCCTTTGGATAAGTTACCACCCTTTCTATTACCCTTTTAAATAAAAATTTACCACCCCTTAAATGACATGATTATACTCCTATTGTTTATTAATTATTGAGAAAATTAAAAATGCAAGTAATTAAAAATGAATTCATATTTTATTAATCATAGTAGTATTAATGGTTATTTGAAAAATAGTGTATAAATGTGTGTATAATACATTATTTAGCCTATTATGATTGGCTGCAGATAATTTCATGAAATCCTAACACAGTAACTCTGTTTCCTCATGGGTTGGGAGCCACTAATTTGGAGCATACATTTAGGTGTATTTTATAGTGGATGTGTATTTTATAATGTTGAGTTCGTTGAGTAGGATCTTAATTTTTTTTTTTTTTATTTAAATCAGCAACAACTTTTACAACAGCACATAAAAAGCAAACGGCCATTGGTGAAAAATGTAGCTACTCAGAAAGAGACAAATGCATCAGGTCCTGATAATCGATCAAAAATTGTGCTTCTGGTAGATGCTTCACAGCAAACAGGTAAGGCAGTGGTTCTTCTATATACATCACTGATTTTTATCTCTTGTCGTGTATTGACTTTATAATTGTGGACTGTACCACTTTTCAGGATTCTAGACATCCATCCTTCCATTTATCCTGCCACTTTGTGAAATTTTCTAGGAAGGATAAAACAGTCCATGTCCTTAATGTTCTTTCAACTTGCTTGCTGGCTTATGTACAGTTTTGAGCACAGTTTATGTTTCCTTATTCCTTTATAGTAGGGGAACAGTTCAGAAATCAGGGGTGGAGTTTTGCAGACATTATATAAATTTGAGGGACTCATTTTGGTAGAAATCAGAATTGTACATGTTTTTTTAACTAGATTAAAACCCTTTGTAAAACCTCCTAATATCCTAGTAGTATCATTATAGAAAGAAGTTAGCAAGTTTTTGGTGCCATATTTTAGCATAGATCTGAACCAAATCTATGAGTGACACCTATATCTCGTCAAACAAAAATTTTGGACTAGTCGGATATCATTTTGTCAGAATTTTTTAGAGGACTGTATAAGCATTAATAAAACAGCTTTATCCTGGTAATAGATAAGAATTAATAGTCTTGCAATATTCCAGCTGTTCTTCTGTTTGTATCATGAAATTCCAATTTGTATCTCTGATCTCAGCTTAGTAGCTATAGAGTAGATGTCTATCTCCGTTCATCCATTGTCATTGACACTAGTTAAAAAAATCCTTGTTAATGATTCAAGGCCAAGAATTAGACCTGTTCAAAGGCACATTTGTTTTTTACCCTTCTGCACTTTCCATTCAAGTGTGGTCTGGCTTGAAATGAATTAGATGGTGCATACTTTCTTTCATTCAGGCTGTACCTTTTCTTTTGGACATCTCTTGTTATCCTTTTACAATTGCTTAGATCCATTAGGAGCAAGAAAGGATCTGGGAATCAGTTAAAAAACAATCTTGCTGATAGTACAGTCATTGTGTGGTTTGTAGGGCATAAAGCAGTGAGATTAACAGACTCTGACAATGCTTGGAGTGGCTATGGAAAAGAATCATAATGTAATATATTACAAACTTTTCTATGTTTTGCTTGTTCTTAGTCATAGGAACCCATTTCTACATGCTTTCAACCCTGGGACTGCTTTTAAAAATTATCCTTCTTTAGTCTGCTCGTTAAGTAAGCACAAGACAACCTTCTGAGGCATAAGAATTAGAAAATGAAAAGATGAAAGTGTAATTTGAGAAGAAGATTATACCTTCTATCAGTATTCTTATTCTTTATTTTCAAATTCTGAGAATCATACGTTCTATCAGTACTTTTATCCTTTAGTTTGTTTTTAATTTCTGAGGATTAATTGATATCAGTCACAGGTAGAATGAAATATTTTAGTTTAAATGAATTTGTAACAAATTTTTACTCGAACACAAGAGTTTATTAAGATGACTAGATATAAGATAATATACAAAAGTTAATGGCATTTTGGTAGGCTACCAACAAACAAATTTAAGAAAAGATACCATTTACAATAGCAACAAAAATATAGAGTTTCTGAGAATAAACCTGACAAAAATGTACAGGACATTTATGCAGAAAACTATGACTTTATTATAGGGTGTTTAAAAAAAACCCTGAATGTCATGTTTCTGCAGGACAATTTGATTTTTCAAGTATCATTTTTCCCAAGTTAGTTTGTACATTCAATGCAATTCTAATCAAAATTCCAATAGGAATTTTTGGTGAATTTGACAAACTAATTCTAAAGTAAAGGAGCACTGGTCCGAGAAGAGCCAAGACATCCCTGGGAAAGAACTTTTCCTCTAGATATCAAGACTCATAAAGCTATCTTAATTCCTATAGGTTTATATAAAAACACAGTACACAAAAATTAAACAGAACAGAGAGCCTAAAAACAGACTCACATGTATGTGGAAACACATATATGGAGAATTTGACAGAGATAGCATTACAGATCCCTGATTTTACCCCATGCAAATCTATTCCAGAAGGATGAAGGACTTAATGGGAAAACCACATGTAGAAGAAAATATAGGCAGACATCTTTATGACTGCAGGGAGGAAATGATTTCTAAAATTAAGAATTTCTGTTTATCAAAAGTGAGTGAAAGAACAAGCCAGAAACTTGGAAAAGATTTTTACCATGGATATAACTGACAAAAGATTAGTATGAGGACAATAATTCATATGAATCAATAAGAAAATGACCCCACCTTGCCCTCAGGGCCCCTGGGACACTGTACTAGAGGGCTGAAACAATTTGGCTGGACTATAGGAATCTTTCCTTTGACCCAGTTGTCCCACTCCTATGAATGTATCCAAATGGAATCTCCCCCTAGAAAGAAAAGGGACCATTTGATTAAAGATGCACATTGTAGCAATGCAACAGAAACACTGAAAACTTCTCAATGTCTGGTAACAGGTGACAAGTCAAGAGAAGTACGGGAGATCCACTCATTGGAATGATATGGAGCTTTCTTACATTATAAGTATGAAGAACATATACATAATATTAAACAGAGCACAACTCAAAATTATATTGATGCTGTATAAAAATTATATATGGTTAGGGCTGGCCCCGTGGCTTAGCGGTTAAGTGCGCGCGCTCCGCTACTGGCGGCCCGGGTTTGGATCCCGGGCACGAACTGACACACCGCTTCTCTGGCCATGCTGAGGCCGCATCCCACCTACAGCAACTAGAAGGATGTGCAACTATGACATACAACTATCTACTGGGGCTTTGGGAAAGAAAAAGGAGGAGGATTGGCAATAGATGTTAGCTCAGAGCCAGTCTTTCTCAGCAAAGAGGAGGATTAGCATGGATGTTAGCTCAGGGCTGATCTTCCTCACCAAAAAAAAAAAAATTATATATGATCAGAAATGTGGAAAAAGGAAAATTTGTGATTTGTTGGGTTGGGAGGAGATTATGAGAGTTTTTTTAATGTCTTATGATTACAATTTGTGAAATATAGAAATAGGAAACAGACAACTCAGTAGAAAAATAGGCAGAAGTCAAACAATCCAAAAGTAAAATGAAGGAGTACTTCACAGAAGGGAAAACATTAGTGGTTAAAAAGCATCAGAAAAGATGCTCAACCTCATTATTAATCAGGAAAATGCAAATTAAATCCACAATGAGCCATCTATTTATACCCAATAATTGGCAAAACTTGTAGCCTAGAAGACAGCATCAAGTATTTGGTAAAAAGGTGATCAGTGGGGATATTTATATCTTGCTGTTGGAGTGTAAACTATTTTAACCACCTTTGAAAATGATTTGGCATTACTAAGTTGAGTATGTGTATCCAAGTAAGGCTCAGCAGTATTTCTGGTGGAGAAACTTACACATGCACACATAACCATTCATGTGTCTGTATAAGAATGTTTACAGCAATATTGTTCTTAATAGCAGAGCCCAGAAACAACCTGTGTCCCATCAGTGGTACAAAGATAAATATGTTAGGGTATATTCATAAACAGGCACTCTAGGTTCCAGTGACAATGAATTACAGCCACATGCGTCAGAATCTCAAAACCGGTGTTGGGGGTGTGAGGGGTGGGAAGGAAGTCACAGAAGAATATGTACAGTATGATTTCATTTTTATAAAGTTAAAACTGCAAAATTATATTTTTTATGTTTTAGGAATACAAAAATCTCTGGAAAATCTATTTTAAAAAGTGAAGGAAAAGGGGCCGGCCCGGTGACATAGTGGTTAGGTGCGTGCGCTCCGCTTCAGTGGCCTGGGGTTCGCAGGTTCGGCTCCTGGGCGCACACCGATGCACCGCTTGTCAAGCCATGCTGTGGTGGCGTCCCATATAAAGTAGAGGAAGATGGGCGTGGATGTTAGCCCAGGGCCAGTCTTCCTCAGCAAAAAGAGGAGGATTGGCAACAGATGTTAGCTCAGGGCTAATCATCCTCACAAAAAAAAAGTGAGGGAATGATAAACACAAAATTCAGAATAGAGGTCACCCCTAGGGGAGGAAGAGGATGCAGTGGTGGAAGGGGGCATGCAGTGGACTTTGAAGGATTGGTGGTGCTCTCTTCAATGGCTCATGGTGGTTTGTTGTAGTATTAATTATACAAATATTTTATTCTCTTTTCATAATAAACACAGATTATAAACCGATTTGTCAGGAACATCTTACCTTTTGATGATCTTTTAAAAGTTTTCACCTGTTTTCTCCCTTTACAAAGTTAGATATCTTTATTTTCTTATAACCTTAATGTTAATTTAACAAGAATTTGTCAACTTGGTCCTCACAAAGAGTTGTCACACTTTCCTTGCCTTGTAGATTTCCCATCAGACATCGCCAACAAGTCTCTCTCGGAGAGCTCTGCCACAATGCTTTGGAAATCCAAAGGCAGGAGGAGAAGAGCATCCCACCCTACTGCGGAATCCTCTAGTGAGCAGGGGGCTAGTGAAGCTGACATTGACAGTGATAGTGGCTACTGCAGTCCCAAGCACAGCAACAACCAGCCCGCAGCAGGGGCTTTGAGAAATCCTGATTCTGGCACCATAAATGTATGTAACATGGCTTTGGTTTCTTTCTCAGTCATCTATGTCAGTATTATCATTGTGTCCTCTGCTAAAGCCTAAGTGTCTATTTTCAGTAACAATTTCTATAGTAACAGGATAGGTAAAAATGTATTTTGTATATTTTATTAATATGAAAAATATTTATGGAGAAATATTTTTTCTAAGATTGTAATAATCATGCTTCACAGGACTAAATTATGAAATGTTTTGCAAGGTATATGGTGTTGACTCTTAAGCGGAAAATAATTGTCTTTTTTGTTTCTATTTTTAGCATGTGGAATCACCTATATGTGCAGGTACTTATTTTCTGCATAGTAATTTTGCTATACTTTCTTCTTTGTCCATGCCAGAGTTTTGCTTTTAAGCATGAAGCTTGCTGATGCAAAAAATTTAGCAATCTCTCAAAGAGATTCAAGTAAATTGGAAAGTACTACAGTTTTGCTGATAAAATTGAGAAAATAATAGCTGGAAGTATTCTGCAAGATGATATTTGTATTAGTAAGACCAGGAATACCACTTAAAGTTGACAGGAAAATTTCCAGTATTACGTTTATAGTGACTGAATTTCCATATAGTCATGCACCGTATAGCAACGTTTCAGTCAATGACGGACTGCATGTACAACGGTGGTCCCATAAGATTAGTACCATGTAGCCTAGGTGGGAGTAGGCTGTGCCATCTAGGTTTGTGTAAGTATGCTCTATGATGTTTGCACAGTGACAAAATCGCCTGACGACACAGTTCTCAGAACTTATCCCTGTCGTTAAGTGATGCATGACTGTACATGAAGTTCAGGGGCAATTTAGGTTTTGGCATCTTTTATAAGTAAGTCATATTTTTAAATCTCATTTGTTACAGGTGGTGTAAATTGGTCCAATGTAACTTGCCAGGCAACTCAGAAAAAACCTTGGATGGAAAAAAATCAGATATTTTCTAGAGGTGGAAGGCAGACTGAACAAAGAAATAATTCACAGGTGATTTGAATTAGGTTGGAGAAATTTGATTAGTGTGAGATGAATTATTATAAGTGGTATAGTGGTTTTGAAGGGCAATGTCCTTAATTTTTTGAGATGCATATTAAATTATTTTAAAGTAAGGTATTACGGCTGGCCCAGTGGTGTAGTGATTAAGTTCACGCGCTCTCCTTCGGCGGCCCAGGTTTTGCAGGTTTGGATCCCAGATGTGGACCTGCGCACCACTTATCAAGCCATGTTGTGGCAGCGTCCTATATAAAGTAGAGGAAGATGGGCACAGATGTTAGCCCAGGGCCAGTCTTCCTCAGCAAAAAGAGAATTGGCAACGGATGTTAGCTCAGGGTTAATCTTCCTCACCAAAAAACCCCCAAAACAAAGATATCATCATAGCTGTAACTTTAAAATGGCTTACCCAATAAAATTATTATTTAAATAATGAAACAGAATGGCAGAATGTTGAATGTAGGTGTGTGTGTGTATGTGAGTGTATATTGTACCATTTTCTACTTTTCTATATTTAGGAAATGTATTTGGATATTTCATAATTTTAAAAAAGAATACCCTCCAGTCCTGCTTCATCTGCCATGACATGTTCTTTCTTTCTTTCTTTTTTTTTTTTGTGAGGAAGATTAGCCCTGAGGTAACATCTGATGCCAATCTTCCTCCTTTTGCTGAGGAAGGTTGGTCCTGGCCAACGTCCATGCCCATCTTCCTCTACTTTATATGGGACGCTGCCAGGGCATGGCTTGACAAATGGTGCATCAGTCTGCGCCTGGGATCTGAACCTGTGAACCCTGCACCACTGAAGCGGAGCGTGTGAACTTAACCGCTACGCTACCGGGCTGGCCCTGCCATGACTTTTTCTTATTCGTATAAAAATCATTTTACTACCTTAAAATATTGATTCTTTGAGCTTCAGGATGCAGCCTTGTCCATGTGTCTTTACTTGACTATAAATACCACAAGCCACACTCTGTGCTTCCTGCAGGGCCATAGATGGATGGCTGCCTCATGCTGTAATGTGGCCAGACTGGGCAGCTTCCTGGTCTTAGGGAGCAAGATCTAGCTGCAGGGGCCAGCCCGGTGGCACAAGCGGTTAAGTGCGCACACTCTGCTGTGGCGGCCCGGGCTTCGCTGGTTTGGATCCCGGATGCGCACTGACGCACCGCTTGGCAAGCCATGCTGTGGCGGCGTCCCATATAAAGTGGAGGAGGATGGGCACGGATGTTAGCCCAGGGCCAGTCTTCCTGGGCAGAAAAAGAGGAGGATTGGCAGATGTTAGCACAGGGCTGATCTTCCTCACAAAAAAAAAAAAAAAAGATCTAGCTGCTGTACAGCGGAGCAAGTTACATACTGCCGTGAATTTCTAGTAACTGTCTTCCTGCATTGGTTGTCTATGAAACCAGGGAGTTGTTTAGTGGTCAGCATTTTTCATTTTCAATTTTTGATAAACTTCCTGGATTCCTTAAATCTGGTTAAGGAATTAAAGTTATCTTATGAATAAATCTGTGGATAATCTCAAAGAGAGGAGTAAATTACTAATGGATTAAGTGGACCAAATACTTGCCTGTTCCTTTTCCTCCCTGAAATAAAGTACTTGAGGTGTACCCTTACATTAATTAGGCTGTCAGGAAGGCCTCTTCCCTATGGTTATTGCTAAAATGAGTCAGTGTTGTTTTTGGCAAGCTCGTGAGGTAGTGTAGCTTTATTTGATTAAAAACAAAAGAGCTAAAACAAGAATTGTTATATAGATTAGATAAACAACATCTACAAAATGTTTAGTTAAGTGCTGAAAATTTACATTGAAATTTAACTGCTAGACCTGCCAAGTTCTCAGTCTCAGTACTGTTATCTTTGGTATCAGCAGTCCACTGGAGAGGAGATAACGCTGATATGTGTGGAAAAACATTTTATCCCTGCCTCAGAACTGGTATGGAATGGTAAAATTATGTAAATACAAACAGTATGTTAAGTTTTGTTTATTTCGTATCTCTTCATTCCAGAAGAACTGGAGCCAGATGTTGAACAATGTATTTGTTTTGTTTTCTACTTCTGATGCTGTGTTATACTTTTCTTAAGTATGTATTTGTTTGATTTTTGATGTGCAGAATGTTTTTTTCTTTTAAGTCAAATTATTTTCCCCTTTTGCAATTTCTGATTGTTTTTAGGCTTAAAAAGTCTTTTAGAAATCAAATAAATATTCACTTGTATTTTCTGCTACTTTATAGCATAATGTTTCAAGACTTTTATCTGAGATTTATTTTGATGCATGGTATAACGTAATGATATAGATTTTCAAAGTAGTTAACCAGTTGTCCTAACATTGTAATTCATTATTTTCTCTGATTTGTGTTGCCCTTTTAGTCATCAACTAATTTTTTATGTCTTGGGTACGGTTTCTGGGCTATTCCATTTATCAGATTTTTCCACCTGTACCATGCTGTTTTAGCTACTGTACCATGCATTGATTTTTAATACTTTTACCAGTGTCTTAATGTTTGAAAAGGCAGATTGTTTCTAAACTCTGATGTAGCCTTAATTTTAAACAGTGGGCAGAATCTAAAAACTTAAGTTTTTAAAAATGGTTTTATTTTGTGAATAGGTTGAAAAATAAGAGATGAAAAAGGTTATACAATGAAAAATCTCATTGTCATCCATCTCCCCTTGTCTTCTCCTCTTCCCTATATCTGTCCCACTTTGTTGAGTTTTTTGTGTATTTTCCCAGAGTTTCTTCATGTCATTATAAGTAAATACAGGTATGTGTATTGTGTTTTATCCACTCTGTTCTGTGCTCTGCTTTCATCACTTAACAATGTGTCTTGGAAACATTTCCATATTATTACATAGAGGGCTTCCACATTTAACAACTTCTTACGTTGTATGGATATATTCTTGTTGATTTCTGTGGTCCTATCGATGGACACTTGAGTCGTTTATAAACTGCTGCTGCTATAGACATACTGCAGTGTCATTTAGAAATATGTGTGTATAGCAGTAGAATAAATTTCTAGATAAGGGGCTGCTGGGTGAAAAGGTAAAGTCTGCTCTGTCATTTGGTAAATATCACCAGATTGTATCATTTTACATTCTCAACAATAATATGGAGAATGCCTCTTTCCATATAGCCTCAGAAGTCATGTGTTTTCCGGATTTTGGATTTGTGCCAGTTAGGTGAAACTGGTGTATTAATGTAGTTGAGCATCTTTCCATATGTTTAAGGGCTGTTTGTATTTTTCTGTGAATTTGTTGGTCATATCCTTTGCCCATTTTTTGTATCTTGATCTATTCCCCTTTTTTGGGTACATTTTTTAATCAGTTGGATCAAGCTCTTATCAAATTTTTAAAATTTCTGGGAGCCTTTGGTCTGTAATATGAGTTGCAAATATTTTGCTAGGTTTTAATTTTGGTTTTTGACTTTGCTCATTATTATTGCCATGCACAAGTTTATTTTATGTTTTAAGTAGCATTAAGAAGTTTATTTTTATAAGTTGACTTTATTGTTGCTTTTTTTAATGGCTTCTGGGTTTTAAATTGTAGTTAGAAAAGCCTTGTCTCTGTTCCAAGGTTATAAAGGAATTTGCCTGTTTTCCTCTGGTGTGTTTATGATCTTGTTTTTTTACATTTAAATCTTTATTCCATTTGGAGTTTGTCATGGTGGATGGTGTGAGATATGGGTCCTACTTTGTATTTTCCAGGTGGCTACCCAAATCTCCCAACACCATTTATTGAAAAGTCCACCTTGGGGGCTGGCCTGGTGGCGTAGTGGTTAAGTTCACGTGCTCTGCCTTGATGGCCCAGGCTTTGGATTCCAGGCGTGGACCTACGCACTGCTTATCAAGCCATGCTGTGGCAGGCATCCCACCTATAAACTAGAGGAAGATGGGCACAGATGTTAGCTCAGGGCCAATCTTCCTCAGCAAAAAGAAGGATTGGCCACAGATGTTAACTCAGGGCTAATCTTCCTCACCAAAAAAAAAAAAAAAAAAAAGTCCATCTCTTCACTGATTTGAGATAACCACGTTTATCACCTAATAAATTCCCATGTATATTGAAATCTATTTCTGGACTTTCTGTTTTGTTCTATTGGTCGTTGAATTAATGTATCATAGGGAAAATGGATTACTTTTATGATGTGGCATCTTTAGGCAAAGAACTGTACGTCTTCCTGTTTAAAGTTATCTTTTTGTGTTCTGCAGAAGTGTTATACAGTTTTCTGAAAATAAATTTATGCATATTCCTCATACGTCAATTCCTAGTAATTTTTTCTTTTGTTATATAAATGGGGTGTGGAAACGTAAATCTTTTAATATTAATTTTGTGCCAGTCATTTAAGAATCTTAATATATATTTGAATCTTAATATATATTTCTGCTTTGTGTTGTTCTGTATGCCCACCGTTTTTTTTGATGAGGAAGATTAACCCTAAGCTAACATCTGTTGCCAAAAAGACTGGCCCTGGACTAACATCCATGCCCATCTTCTTCCACTTTATATGTGGGATGCCTGGCACAGCATGCTGTATGCCCCCTTTTTATCAAAAAAACTCTTTCTCTTAGAAGAAATAAAAAAAATGAGGTCATTCATTCATTCCGGGAGATAATTGAAATACTTAACGTATTTGGTCCTCATGAACTTGGTTGGGACCATTAGTTTGGGGGTTTTAATTTAATCCTGGAGCTTTATGTCTCCAAGTGTAATAATCAAGTTGCATTTGTTTTTTAAAAAAATTGTTTTAGTGTTTGTAACAGCACTAATGCATATATACTAACTCTGGTTTACAATAGGGCTTACTTTTGATGTAATGCTGTTTGGAGGGCAGGTATGCATTTACTTTTTTGTGATAGTGACTGTACAAAGAAATGAGTTGTACTCAAGAATTATTCTCTTGCTTTTTATTCATCCCTATCGTGGGGCTTGATTATTAGTACTCATTTCAATGTTAATAATTTATGTGAGTTAAGTTGTTTCTTTAGTACCTGGACATTGTACATTGCATTTGTTTTACCATCCTTGAATGAGCTTCTTTTCATGAGCCGATTTTAAAAATGTTTTATGAAAATTTCTAAACAGACAGTAAAGTTGAAATAGTTTTACAAAGAATATTCATATAGCTACCAGCTTGATGCTGTCTAACATTTTACTGAAATTTGCTTCGTCACACATGTATTGTGTGATGTCCCTCTCTTTGTCCATGTTCATGAGCCTATTTTAAAATGAAGTAAATATTTAAAACCAGGAAACTGTTGGGTATCTGGAAAATTACCTAGTTTCTTAACAGGTGCTTATAGGTTATAGGAAGGAGCCCAGTGGTCACAGTGCATATTCTAAGGAAGAATTAAATTTGCTGTATGACTATCTTCTGGCCTATAGTTCTGCTGTACAGCCTACCTCCCAAAAGAGTATAAAAATTCTATTTCTTATCAGCAAGTCTTTTTAGACCAGTTGCTTAGCATGAGAGTTGCTAGGTGGCAGTCCAGGTCGTTGTGTGCATATTTTTGATTTCATAAAGCCTGTATACCAGCACCTTCTGTCCAGGTCTGTTTCTAAGTTGTGTTTATTGTTAGAATTTTTGGGTAACTCATAATGAAGATCATACTTTTCAAGTCTTCTAAGTGTCCTGGTTAAGATGGGTACTTAAGAGAGGGAACTTGAAATGTCTTAAGATTCTTAAAATGCTTAATGTGTTTTTTTCTTTTTTTTTTAAGTAGGATGCCTTTATTTTCTTTTTTGTGTGTGTGAGGAAGAGCAGCCCTGAGCTAACGTCCGATGCCAGTCCTCCTCTTTTTTTGCTGAGGAAGGTTGGCCCTGAGCTACCGTCCATGCCCATCTTCCTCCACTTCATATGGGACGCCGCCACAGCATGGCTTTGACAAGTGGTGCTTCGGTGCGCGCCCGGGATCTGAACCTGCGAACCCCGGGCCACCGAAGCAGAGTGCACACACTTAACTGCTTGCGCCACCGGGCCGGCCCCTGATGTGTTTTTTCTTGCCCTTATGACGATTGAACATTTTGCAGATTTCTTAACAGGATAATAATAATTGATGTGATTATGTTATTATTTATGTGAGTATGTTATACTTCAATAAAACATTTACTTAAAAATAATAAGACGTGTTTTTTCTTCTGGGGTTTACTTAGGTTGGATTCAGATGCCGAGGACATAGTACTTCCTCTGAAAGAAGACAGAATTTGCAAAAGCGACAAGATAATAAGCAGTTAAACCCCAGTCAATCTCATAGAGGCGACCCAAATTCTGAGTCTTTATATTTTGAGGTATTTTTTTCAAACTCTATTTGTAAACTTACAGCAAATGTTCCTATTAAGAAATTAATTTTCTTACATTATGATAAGTACTTTTTATGTCTTAACATGTGACTCTACTATTAGATTGTAAATTACTTAGAAGTATTGGTTGTATATAGTCTAACGTTAACTTTACTAATGCTTACTTTTATAAATTTTTGTCATGAGTATTCATTTTGAGATAATATGTAGAGGTAGAACTTGATTTTACATGGATTTCACCTAGTATGAAAATTTCTTCTTAATTTTTATTGTTGTTCAGTCTACTTGTCAAGTTTTTCAGATTTGAATAGTTCAATTTGGTTAATTTGTGTTGCTAGCCAAGAGAGTCTTGGAGAAGGAGGAAAAAAGGCTATTTTACTTTCTCTAACAGGCAGACAATTTATATTCTAATTGCAGTGTTTCTATCATTTCTTCATCTAAGTGGCTCTTGTCAGAGGCCTGTAAAGTAAGGTGCTCTGGATAATACGTTAAGGTGAATAAACACACTACCCTTCAGGAGGTTGCTGTGTAATAAGGAATATAGGTGTATACACGCACTATACTTGATTGAGTGTGGTTGGAGTGGAAAGGAGAGACAAGTCCCTTTGGGTTTGGGGCAGGGTAAGGATAACATTTTGAATAGATTTTAAAGAATGAGTAAAATTTGGTTGTGTCAAGATGGTGAGCAACATCCCAGGTAACTCATTTGAGTAACTCATTTTTGTTGGATCGTAGTTTCTATAAAATGGGTTAATAGATGGAGATTAAACTGGAAAACGTGCTTGAGGCCAGAGGCTAGAGATGACTAATATGTTAGATAAGCTTAGTAATCTATCTGCAGCACTTGAGAGTACATCTTAATTATCCTATCAAGAACAGTACATGTGGCAGATTTATTATTTGCACTTAAGCATAATATTGATTCCATTCTTACATTTAGTTAAAGATATTCGATAAAATTTTCTATGTTAAGGAGGATATTAGTTAAGAAATTACTTTGAGTAGGAAATATTTTTTTAGTTTTTATTTTTTAACTTTTGACGTTATTGACAGGTGTGTGTAGTAATGCAGGACAGGGAATATATTAGTGAAATTCATATTAAGCCATCTGTTTAAATGTTTTCCAGATTATCTGAAATGTGATAAAATCCTTTCTGAATTTCTTTTCAGTTACCTACCCATCTTAGGGTAGAATCAATAAAAATGGAATAGTAGATGCAGAAATCTGAAGGCTGGACATGTGTGGATATGCCCCTATCCTTGAATAATTAAATTAGCTGTTTTAGCATGGAGAAATGAGATTCTATTTTTAAGACTGACTTTAAATAGTTCAATATTAGAATTAAAAAAAAAAATTCTCCCCCATTTTTCATTACTCTTAAGCATTATAAAAAGTTTTTCTTGGGGCCAGCGTGGTGGCACACGCAGTTAAGTGCGCGCGCTCCACTGTGGCGGCCTGGGGTTCGCCGGTTTGGATCCCGGGCGCGCACTGATGCGCTGCTTGGCAAGCCATGCTGTGGTGGCGTCCCATATAAAGTGGAGGTAGATGGGCACGGATGTTAGTCCAGGGCCAGTCTTCCTCAGCAAAAAAAGAGGAGGATTGGCAGATGTTAGTACAGGGCTGATCTCCTCACAAAAAAAATAAATAAATAAAAACTAAAAGTTTTTCTTGAGTTTATTGCTTTGAACTCTGTTTTTACTTAAAATGTGAAATTATTTCAGGATGAAGATGGATTTCGAGAACTAAATGAGAATGGAAATGCTAAGGATGAGAATATTCAACAGAAACTTTCTTCAAAAGTAGTAAGTGACTCTTTTTAAAAAGATAAGTCAAATAGAACATGTTTTGAACTATGGCTATGATGTAAAGAAATATTATAGGTAAGTATAAAGACATGTGAGGCAGCGTGGTATAGAAGAAACATTGTATTTAGTACTTATCTTTAACATTTCTTTTCAGCATAGCCAGAACAAAGACACTTTCCTGTGAGATCCACAGTTCAATTACAGATAAGAAAATACCATTAATTAAGTGTCATAAAACATACAGTCCATACTGAAATTTCCCCAGTTGTTGCAAAACTTTACTTTGGAGTTATTTTATTTTGCTTTCAGTCCAGGATTCAGACAAGTATCACCTGTTGCATTAAGCTGTTTTGTCTCTATTATTTCCCAGTCTAGAATGGTTCTACCATCTCACTGTGCTCTTTTTGACATTGAATCTTTCGAAGGGTCTAGTCCATTTATACTGTAGAACGTCCTACCTTCTGCATTGTCTTTCTTTTTTGTTTTGTGAGGAAGATTAGCCCTGAGCTAACATCTGTTGCCAGTCCTCCTCTTTTTGCTGAGGAAGATTGGCCCTGGGCTGATGTCCGTGCCTGTCTTCCTCTACTTTATACGGGATGCCGCCACAGCATGGCTCGACAAGCGGTGCATCAGTGCACGCCTGGGATCCGAACTGGCGAACCCTGGGCTGCCGAAGCCAAGCGCGTGAACTTAACTGCTACGCCACTGGACCAGCCCCCTGGATTGTCTTTCGTTATGATTAGACTTTAGTGGAATCACTAACAAATGTTTTTCTCTGGTTATCATAGTTGGATGATTTACCTGAAAACTCACCAATCAACATAGTTCAGACTCCAATTCCCATTACAACCTCAGTTCCTAAACGTGCAAAAAGTCAGAAGAAGAAAGCTTTAGCAGCAGCTCTTGCCACAGCTCAAGAATATTCAGAAATAAGTATGGAGCAAAAAAAATTACAGGTACATTTTTATGTATAAATGTAATGGTTTATTTTTCTAGGTTTGAGGAGATGGACAGAGTGACAAATATAATCATCTTAAATTGCCACACTTTTGTACTATAACAAAAAGTAAATGTTTTCATGTTTACCTTGCAGGAAGCTTTATCAAAGGCAGCTGGAAAAAAGAATAAAACCCCTGTGCAGCTAGATTTGGGGGATATGTTAGCAGCTCTGGAAAAACAACAACAAGCAATGAAAGCACGGCAAATTACTAATACCAGACCACTGTCATATACAGGTGATATCATTAGTCTGAGCAGTTTGCTATTTGGCTTTGGTAATATATTTTTATGTTGTTAGTCTAAATTTTATATATAAACCTAGAAAAAATCCAGAGTCTAACTACTCACCAGCTCCTCTCCTGTCACTCTAGTAGCCCCTCATCATTGTACTGCACTGTAGTAGCCTCCTGACAACTCCCTGCTTTCCCTCCCTCTATCCCTGGTCTATCTTAAAAGGAGTGATCTTTTTAAAATATAGGCTGGATTATATCACTCCACTGCTCAGAACCCTTCAGTAGCTCTTGATCTCACTTGGCGTGAAGTCAGAGTCCTGACTAAGGCCGTATCTTAGATGACCCTATTCCCTTTTTGCCCTCATCACCATTCTTTCCTGGCACACACTGCTGTAGCCACGTTAGCCCCCTCACTGTTCCACAGACACTCCCAACGTGCTCCTAGCTCAGTGTCTTTGTGCTTGCTATTTCATTTTCCTGGAACTCTCTTTCCTCAGTTATCGGTATAGTTTGTTCCCTCAGGTCCTTCAGGTCTCTGTTCAAATCTCAGTTGGTGTACATTTTGAACCAAGTATTTTTTTTCTTCTTCAAAAGAAAATCACAAGTAATTTGGCTTTGTACCTGTTAAATTATCCAATATACAACCAAATGGGAAACAGGAGTTTTGATCAAATTGTGTGTGTGTGTGTGTGTGTGTGAGAGAGAGTGAATGAGAATGAGAATGATCTGGCTTTTTACTGAAATAGTAATTTATATTTTAACAAACCTCATCAAATTTAGAGCTCAGCAGCTCTGAGGTGCTCCCTCATTTCTTTTCATAGTCTTTGTTTTAGAGGATGAGGAATAAGATGAAGGAAAGGGAAAGGCACCAACAAAAAGCACTGATGATGAAGAGGCAGAATTGAATTTTCTCTTTCTTCTGGTCCTATCTAAAAGGTCTGTTGTTTTACACAAAAAGCTAAGTAACAGTGTATAACTTCAATCCTGTGTGCAAAATGTTTAAACCTATGGCTAGGTACCCATCCATTATGAGCCTTAGCTTTGAATAACTATTAGTAAAAATAATATTGAGTCCATGCACAGCTTCAGAGTTCCGTGTCATTGAGAGGAGAGAGGCAGTGACATCTCACTCACTGTGAAGGGCTGTAGGGAAAGGAAGTGAGAGTTAGCGTGTTCTGGAGGCAGTGTGGCTTTGTGGCTGCCATCAGAGGCTCTGGGGTTGAGCTGCCTGAATTTGAGTCCTGTTCTTTCATGTATTTCCTTGGCAGGTTATTTAACCTTCCTGGTCACTTTCTGCACATTAAAATGGTGGCAATGATAGTACCTGCTTCAGGATTGTTTTGAGGATTAAATGAAATAATACATGTAAAGTGCTTAGAAGAGTGTCTGGGTTATAGTCATTCAATAAATGTTAACTAATTATTATGGAGAAGAGAGTGTTAACCTGTGATACTTTGTTCAAATGGCTTATTGTTACAACTTTGATTCGTTTAGCAAATGTTAATGTGTGCAAATGTAAAATATCTACCTGCAAAGCATGGTGTCAGGAACTGTTGGAATTACAGATCGGATTAAGATAGCCCTGTGGTCAAGAAGTTTATAATCTAGTCAGAGAGAAAGGCAAACACAAATAACTGATAAAAAGCAGCGCCTTAGGAAAGATACCAGCAAACTTTTATGAACTGGCAGAAGAGAGAGTGATTTATGTCAACAGGGAGGTATGGGGAAGATGTTATAAATGACCCATATATGGTAGCGTTTGGACTGGGCTTTGAAGGGGGAGTAGGATTCTTGAAAGATAGAAATGAAATTAACCTCTAACCTATCACCAGTGTGTAAATTGGACAGCGTTAAGGCATCAGCTTTCTCAGGAAGTTCAAGAAAAGGATGAGACTGTGGTAGAGATGAAAAAGGATTGTAAGGAATTGATAGGGTTTCTTTTTTTTTTTTTTAACTGATGGAATGTGGAAACGGGTCAAAGATGACTCCAAACTCTCGGACTTGGAGGATTGTGGTGGTGGTAAGGGCTAAGATGATACCAAATAAGATAGGGACCATGGAAAAAGAATTTTGTTGGAAAGAAAAGACCCTCTTGTATTTGAAATGCTAGTTAGGGAGATGCTGGTGGTTCCTATTTAACACATAGTTATGAGTGTACAGTTCAGTTTAGAAGTCAGGGAGTTTCAAACAGAGATAATTGTTGTAGTTGTGGAAATACGGCAGATTGTCAGGGGAAAGAAAATTAGGAAAATGATGTTCAGGGGTAAAGCCTTATAGAATGCTCAGATGTAAAGGACAAGAGGAAGAAGAACCAGAAAAATAGGTTTGAAAAAGAGTAAGAAAAATGGAATGGAATGTCATAGAAGGCGAGGATAGAATTTTGAGCAAGAGGGTATGATCTTTGGTACCAAATACTGAAAAAACTATTAATGGAGTGAAGACTCAAAATTCAGTTTGACAATTGCAAGGTAGTGTGTGATCTTGACAGGAGTAGTTTCAAGAGAGTGGGTAGGGCAAAGGCCAGATTGTAATGATTTGGGAAGTGATGATGAGAAAGCAGACTATTCAGAAGTTTATCAGGGAAATGATGGTACCTTAGCTTGAGGGGAGGCCAGTGGAGGGAAGAGTTTTGTTTGTTTACCTTTTTTTTTCTTTTTTTATACAGAGGAGATTTTAGCTTATTATTGGGAGTTAGGGAAAAGAGTCAAGGGGTAAGGAGGAACTTGAAAGATGCAAGGGAAAAAGAAGAGAGCAAGATCCTCGTGGAATTAATCCAGAGATGGGATTAAGAACAGAGGTGGTTGGTGAGCCTTGGACAGGAGTAAGGATGCCTGCTGCATCCTCTCAGGTGGCTTTATAAGTTTATATTAGAGAGTATCTTCTCAGGGAAGTGGCAGGAAAACTTCTCTGCTAGAGTGAGAAAATTGAGATTAGAAAGGTCTAGGACTTCTAAGGGATTGGGGGTAGCCACTGGGGAATGAGAGTATCAATCAGGCATAAAAGAATTGCTGAATAATACTGATAGTGCAGCTGAGGGGGAAAATCATCCTTCTTTATGGACAGATTGAAATGAGGAGAGGAGTGGAAGACTACATATCTTATATAAGGGTGATTCTTATGTAAGGCAGAGTCAGTAGGAATAAGGAGAGGTGCAGACTTTTGATACTTGAGAGGTAGAATCGTTCTGATTGAAGACCAGTTGCAAGCACGTGCCATGCGTGAGGGTTGCTGCAGTAGAGAAGAACTAACAATTTATTTATCCCTCTTTTGGACCATGAAATTAGTTAATTCCATTGGCTTTGTCTTCTTTATCTTATGGAGGCTAAAAAGATGGCTAAAAGCTGTATCTGAGGGACACTGCACGGCCATGTACTGCTCCTACTAATATGGTGTCTTTTTTCCCCATGAGAAGAGGAAGTTGTTGTTTTTGTAGATTCATCATTTAAAAATGTGAAAATATATGGAGTTGGCCATAATAGTAAAACTAATGTTCTTGTTTGTTTTTAGTGGTCACTGCAGCTTCTTTTCACACTAAAGACTCTACTAACAGAAAACCTTTAACCAAAAGTCAGCCCTGTTTGACATCCTTTAATTCTTTGGACATTGCTTCCTCTAAAACGAAAAAAGGAAAAGAGAAGGAAATTGCAAAACTAAAACGACCCACAGCACTTAAAAAGGTAAACCAAAATCTGGGGGTGTTTATTTTACAGGATAAATAGGGTTTAAATCTGTTTTGTAAAAGTAGTGACAGCGTTTTAGCCAGTAGATTATTGTGAAATGTTCATAGGCATCTTCACGATGAGTAGTTGACTTGAGGTTGGGGATGTCAGCAGCATCAGCATCATGATATCTTTCTGTGTTGAACAAGGCCCTGGAGAATGAATTCTTTCTATAAGGTTAAAAAAAAAAAGTTAAACATTTAACACCCAAAAACATTGGATGCTAGGAATCAGAAACCCTGGATTCTAGTACTAACTTCAGTGCTTTTTATGTAGTTTTAGGCAAATCTTTCTTACCTTCATCTTCCTCATCTATAAATCAGGAATAATTTTTGCTCTGCTTAACTCAGTATTGTTGTTAGGAGAAGCAGAATGAGATAATCCATGTCCAAGTAACTGAAAACTGCAAAATGTAAATCTAATGTAACTATATAACCTGGTTTCCAGACTTATTTTATCCGTTTTTGGGGAAATTCTTGTTTGTCAACCAGGATTTAAAGAATGAAGCAGATGTGGTTTGATAGCTGTAGTATTATATAGCATAATTGTCTCTGTTTAGAGTATAGTACTTCTTTCAACTACAGTTCTTAAAATTACATTTATCTTTTTGCCAATCAGTTTCTACATGGGCAAATAAACACATAGCCAACCAAAATCCTCATGTTCATTTTTACGTGAACTGCTATACCTGTGTAATAGTGAACATTTTAATCATTCAGTATGTACTTAAAGAGTGATCAGTAATTAAAGACTGGTAATGACTTTTAGGTTATTTTGAAAGAAAGAGAGGAAAAGAAGGGCCGGTTAACTGTGGACCACAATCTTTTGGGATCTGAGGAACCAGTAGAAATGCACTTAGATTTTATTGATGACTTGCAGCAGGAGATTGTTTCCCAGGAAGGTAAGATCATCCCTTTCCCCTTCTTCTTGTGGACTAGTGCAGAGTATTTTAAGATAGGTAAGCCATCCCTAGTTACACTCCTAATTGAAGGATGTGCTCCATATTTAATCTAAATTTTTTTTTGAGAGTGATTTATTTTGAAGATACTTCTGTAGGGAGATTGTTAAAAGGGGTTAGGGGTGGGTATTAAATAGTAGGTCTATGGCATTTTTGAAATATAAATCCTGGATTTGTTGTAAACCTTCATAAGGTTTACATAAGTTACAGAGATCTCCTCTGTAACTGTCACAGTTCTTTTAATTTCATTGTCTTTTATGTCCAGAACACTATTGGCTGTCTTTCTTCACAGGACTGTTTTTCATTGAGTTGGTTTTGTGGATTTTCTTTCTTGCTTTCATGGAATTAATACATATGCCACAATGAGTCGAGAATTGCAAAGCCTGTTGCAGTGCAGAGTCCCATTGATCAGTAAGATTCAGTTCCATACAGTAGCCAGCACATATGATTTCAGTTGGGACCTTAGCAAAACTGCAGATTGCTTCTAAAATTTATACTACTGTGGAAGAAACATTTTAAAAGAGACCTGGCTGTGTCCCTTTTTCTGCTGGTATATATTTATTCTTCAACTTTTTGCAACACATTTAAATCTCATTTAAGTAGCACTGTCCCATTGTGTTTAGAAAAATGAATTTACTTCTATGTATTGTTCAACTATGACATGTTTGGTTAGGATTCCCCTTTACTCTCAATTAAATATGATTGCCTTTGTATTTAGGTGTATCTCTCCATCCGTTCAGTCAGCAAGTGTTTATTGAACACCTACCATGTGTACTTTAGTTACTGGTGAGGGGATGGGAAGATCAGGAAATGTAATAAAGATATATAGTGGACTGGTCCTGCTACAGAAAGCTTACAGTCTGGGAGAGAGATAAGATATATGTGTAACTTCACTAGTTAATGGACTGGATATGCAAATATTAACTCATTTCCTGCGTTTAGCTGTTTAGGAAAGAAGCAATAACTGAAGGAGGCAGTCAAGTCAAGAGATGGCATCTAAAAATGTGGCTGCCTGAGCACAGAAGCAAAGGTCAAATGAGGGAGGAGCTGGGGTGGTGCCTGGAGAGTCAGGAGTGGTGTGGAGAGAATGGTGAGGTAGAATTCATCATTGCCAGCAGCCATGGGAATTTTTAGATAGTAAAAAACAGAAAATGATTTCTGAGAAATAGGTGGAAAATAGAGATGGAGGACATGAGTAATATCATCTGAAAGAGGTGCAGAAGTTGATACCTTTGTTCTTCCGTTTAAATCCTCTAGGGATATATGTTTTAGATAATTTGGTCTTCTCTCGTCGTCTCTGGAGACTTGTAGCTGTGCTCTATTTTTAAGAGTATATTTTAGTAGATAATAGAAGACTTCATTTTTATAGTGTAGGAGAAATGTTTATTTGTGATATGAACAATGCCCAACTTGTTAGCTGCTGGAGAATTTGGAAGTGATACAAAAGACAACTGCCATTCTAAATTGTGTTGATTAATGGAGAGCTTTTCAGCATTTGAGGTTTCTAAATTCTTGTCCCCGAACCCTGTGTCTCCACAGATACTGGACTGAGCATGCCCAGTGATACTTCGCTCTCTCCAGCAAGTCAGAACTCTCCATACTGTATGACACCTGTGTCACAAGGCTCTCCGGCTAGTTCCGGGATAGGCAGTCCAATGGCATCTTCGACAATAACCAAAATCCACAGCAAAAGATTTAGAGAGTAAGTTGTAGTCTCATTATTGGGGTTGAATAGTTTAAGTATCTTGATTATAGTTCTGAATATAATTTTGTCATTGTTACTCGGTGAGTTGAGTAGACAAAACACCAAAGATCTTTAAGTTCTTTGAGATTTTGTTTAATAGCTGGTTTTATTATATTTAAAGCGTTTGCCTTCCATCAGCTATCAGCGTTCATGTGCAAGAGGTTTGACAGTAAATATATTCTCTTTATATCAGATAGCATTTATACCCTGGAAATTTGGGCTCTTATATCTTGTGTATAAAATGCCATACTGTGAGGTTTTCCCTCTCCAAATGCTTTTGCTTTTTTGTTTATATTATTGGCCCTTCAGAAAATTTCTCTAACCAATTAATAACAAGTTTCTAAGACCTTATTACATGAAGTGAACGTATTACATAAAACTATTTGTTTTTAAGTAAATATTTCTAAGTTTTAAAATGCCCATCTATGAATAACCTTAAGCTAACAATTATTGCTGTGAAGGATTTTAGAATTTTAAACTGTGTGTAGGTGAATTAATTTTACCTTTAAAAATGACGTATGAAAGAATCCCAGGGTGAAAGTAAAATCTGTGTGATTCCAGACCGCATTGGTGTGTTCTATTCCTTTTCTTTATACTATTTCTATTGTTTTTGAGCAAATTCTTCTTGCCTAGATTTGGGAAGCTAATTAAATGTCAAATAACAGATGTGGAGCAAGTGAAGTACTTGGGGAATAAAATGTTATGTATGTATGAAATAAACAGCTTGAAAGATAAAAACAATTGAAGAAAATTGCATTTTTGATGTTCTTTTCTTTAATTACATTCTTTAATTTTGCATACTTTAACTATGATAGTTAATTTTTCCTCATTGTGTCCAGTTATATCTTCTGAGGTAGAGTCTCATAATTATTTAAACATTTTTCACATAAACATAAAAACAATTCCCCAAACAGAACATTTTTTTGCACTAAAGAAGGGCAGGCCTAGATTTTTCCACTACATTATGTAGTTTATAAGTGGATATTTGCTTGTCTGGTTATTCCTAGATTAGAAATTACACCAGTTCTCCTTAAGTGCCATGTGTGGTAGGGATGAGGGATGAGAACTAGGAAATTAGAGTCCAAGTTAACTTGGAGGACTTCCTTATCCCTGAAGTTAAGTGCTATAATGGCCTCATGCTTCCTTCCTTCCTGTTTTTTGCATTATAGCCATACATGATGTCACAAAGAGCCTCATTCAATTGCTTTGCCTGATACCAGGGCATGTGACTTTTATCTCTAGGCCTCTTGGTTTTTGGCCTCAATTTAATTGTTGATATTGAGTTCATCCTCCATAGCTGTAGATTTTTGGAGATAGAGGCCATCTTACCTAACTTCTTATTTTTATAGTTGAGGAAGCCAGTTCCCAGAGATTGTGACTTATCCACACATAGAGGATGAATTCTTTTTTTTTTTTTTTTTAATTTTATTGTGGTCACATTGGTTTATAACATTGTATAATTTTCATTGTATAAATACATCATGTTCACGACCCAAATACTGATTACAATCCATCACCACAACACATGTGCCTAATCATCCCTTTCGCCCAGAGGATAAATTCTTGGTATTAGGGCATTCAGTTAGCTTCTATGAAATTATATTTTTTTCCTACTAGAAGCATCTTTAGTATTCATTGGAGTGAAGTAACTTTGTATCTCCTTACCAAAAAAGTTAATTCTATTTTTATCTAGTAGTAGGCTAACATTTGATTTATATCCTTAGGAAATTAATAATTGGAAGTTTGGATAATACTTCTCTGAGGTTAATCTATCCTTTACATAAAAGCCAATCTGTTGTAATTCAAGAAGACTTCTATTTTTCTCATTGACGAGAGGATTTAAGAGGTTTTAAAGATTTGATTTTTTTATGAAAACCTCTTACTGGATGTGTTTTTTTCATATAGCAGTTTTACGGTGACAGAAAAATAAATTAGAATGGACTGACCTATTTTTGGTTTCCTTTACAGGTATTGTAATCAGGTTCTTTGTAAAGAGATTGATGAGTGTGTGACTCTTCTTCTCCAAGAGCTCGTCAGTTTCCAGGAACGCATCTACCAAAAGGATCCTGTCAGAGCAAAAGCGAGGAGACGGCTGGTTATGGGTCTAAGGGAGGTTACCAAACATATGAAGCTAAACAAGATCAAGTGTGTTATAATTTCTCCAAACTGTGAAAAAATCCAGTCAAAGGGTATGAACATTTTAGTTTTGAAGTGCTTTGATGTTTACTTAGTATAATTGTAGGATATACAGTGAATTTTAAAGTGGAAGCCACATGTCTTTCTTAGCAGATTTTAAGTATAAAACAAAATATTGAGCATGAGGAAAGAGAATGAAATCTTTCAGTACCTGAAATTAAGTAATAAAATTGAGATTGGATTGTAAAGAAAATTCTTATTGATGAACACTAAGTGAAGGATTTAAGTTGGGCCCACCAAGTGTCTCCTCTGTGGTAATCAGAGTGGGGACTAGTAAGAGGCATTTCTTTACCTCTGCAAGTATATTTTACTTTTTAGATTTTTTTTTTTTTTTCACTTTTTCTCCCCAAAGCCCCAGTATATAGTTGTATGTCATAGTTGCACATTCTTCTAGTTGCTGTATGTGGGACGCCCCCTCAGCATGGCCAGACAGGTGGTGTGTTGTTGCGCGCCCGGGATCCGAACCCAGGCCGCCAGTAGCGGAGCATGTGCACTTAACCGCTAAGCCACGGGGCCTGCCCTAACTTTTTAGATTTTTATATTGTCTTCCTTTGATGGCCCTTCTCTCTTAAAAAGAATTAGAAAGAAGGTAAAGGTCTCTGCTCTGCTTAAGGTGGAGGTGTGTCTGTCAGAAACCAGCAGTTACAAACAGAGGCTCTTGGTGAGCCAGCACGCAAGTACTTTGTACTGTGTCCTGCCCCCTATCTGTCCTGTTTCAGGGAGGAGCCACTTTGGGTGATTGGAGTAGACAGATGCCTGAAGTAGCAGTAGTAGGCATATTCTCCATAGGGAAGAAATACCAATAAAAACAGTAATGTGTGGTCTCTCTTGTCGCATGTGGCAGGTTGCTACTTGAGCTGAGAGACTGGAAAAAGGAGTCAGCCACTATTAACAATTTTAATTAATTTCCTTTTAATGTTTATTGATTTGAAATTTAACTCCTGCTATGCTAATCCCTTTGGAGAGACAAAAATACTGGCATTGAAGGGATTTGGAATTTAATTGGGGAGAAAGAAGATAGATACGTATATCCATATATAGCACAAATGCAAATAGGAGAATGTGTGGAGCAGCATAAGTGCCACAAACATTCATGGAGTCCTTTGCTGCTGTGTTGTATGCTTTGGCAGTTGGGTACTGAAATAGCTCCAATTAGGAAATAACTAAGTTAAAATCTCTGCATGTGTTGACTTTCTTAGGTGGCCTGGATGAGGCTCTCTATAATGTTATAGCCATGGCACGGGAACAAGAAATTCCTTTTGTGTTTGCCCTTGGAAGAAAAGCTCTAGGACGCTGTGTGAACAAGCTGGTTCCTGTTAGTGTAGTGGGAATCTTCAACTACTTTGGTGCTGAGGTAAGACTTTAGAAGACATACTTCCTCACTCCCCCCCCCACCACCCCCCTCAAATAGTACATTTTCTGTTGATACATGCCAGTGTTATGTTTCAGCACTGGAAGATGTAAGATGATGACTCTCCAAGAATGAGTGGAAAATTCTTGAGTGTTACATTTCCTTTTTTAGTGTTGAAAACATTTACAGAAGTTAATCCTACAACATTTTGAAAAGATTTTAGCTCTTTTTGCCACAGTGGTTTTTTCTTTTGAGTTCAACTATGTAGCCTGATAATTTGCTGGGTAAAGGTACCCGATATTATACAATGTAAAATAATTTTCTTCAATCTATATGTTGGGTATATTTTGTGCTACTAGGAGTCAAGAGAAATTTCCTCTACAAAGAAAATTCCTATACTAGTTGTCAGAATAATGCTGCACCCATGATACACCTTCATCTTCCTTTCACAATCTGATGATACAAAGCTTTGCCCATAGAAGCTGATAATGTAGAGGTTATTAATTTAAAGTAATGCTTATTAACTGATAATGTTTTAAGAATATTTTTTATGAAGTTGATTCTAAAGTATTTTGTGATACCACTGATGGACCATTTTCCCTCTTCTCAACCATACTATTTTTATTTGTTTATCTATTTATTTTATTTTTTTTGTTGAGGAAGATTGGCCCTGAGCTAACATCTATGCCAGTATTGCTCTGTTTTGTATGTGGGACACTGCCACAGCATGGCTTGATGAGTGGTGTGTAGGTCTGCGCTGGGATCCGAACTTGTGAACCCCAGGCCGCTGAAGCAGAGTGTGCGAACTTAACCACTACGCCACTGGGCTGGCCCCCATACTATTTTTATATATCTAAGTGTCTATCCTTTCCTATCCAGTCACCATGTTTGCACACCCCCATTCCCCTATCCATTCAATTTCTCTCCCACCACCCATGAAATTATCTAACTACCCACCTACTCTCTCTGAGTACATAATTAATATTTGTGTTCCCTCAGTAGCCCATGCTTTTCTCAGTTATGGATGTCACAACGCCTTGCTGTAGTTTATGTGTTTCTTCTCCTTTAACTGTGAATTCCTTGAGGGCAGGCCCCTTGTGTTTGTCTCCCTGACACCTTTCACATTACTTGAACGTGAGCAGGTGATAATTGTTTGTTTAATAAATTGTGTGGTAGATGTGTATCTGCCTTCTACATTAAACTGTATATGAGAATTTGGGTGATAAATACCTCTATGGGAAAGAAATGTCATATATAAGGACACCTAATAAAAATGTACTCCTTTTTTGTTCAATATAAGAGTTTATGGAATAGGAATGGATTAGGGTCAGGAAAAGTGGACATGTTTGTTTTTAATTGTATTGACTTCTTACTGAATTATATATGTTAGGTTATTTGTGTGGTTTTATATTATAAAAGGCTTGCCAGTTTTGTTTACACATTGTTTTACTTGCCCTCTACTGTTTCCAGGTAGGTAAGTTGTTTAAACCAAAATACACTCTTAAAATGGAGGTAAAGGAAATATTGATGTATTATCAAGTATATCGTTTCACAGTGATGTGGTAGTGCACCTAAGTTATTTTTACCATCTGGTAGTTTACTAACCTTTGACTTAAGCTTCCTATCTTTACCCAGTTCAAGGCTTTTATTCCCTGATAAGCTTCTCTCTTCAATTTTCTTTTCTTTTCTTATATTCTTTTATTTCCAATAATTTCTATGTTTGATTTATATTGTAAAACAAATGTTAATTTCAAAATCACGTATCCATATGGCTGTTTTCTTTTTGTTGGCTTCGCTTTAAAAGCGTGGTTTGTTAAACATTGCAAACAAATATTTGTGAAATCTGTTACATGTAACACATCGGAGCTGTTTTTAACAGAATTCATCCTCCCTCTTTTTAAAAAATAAATAAATCTTGAAAACATTTTGATACTATTACTAGTTAGCACCTACCCCTCTTCAAAAATCAGCACGCTTAGCAACAGCTTTTATTGTACCTGCTACTTTAAACAATTTAAACTGCAGCTGGGTAAAAAAAGCATGCTACTTTTGTTTTTCCTTCTTGAGTTTAATTTTCAGAGACATATTATTCCACAGCAATATGATACTTTTTGCCATGCTGTCATCTTGTTATGGTTTATACTTAAATGACAGTGCTTTGGTAAAAAGAAAAAAATTGTGCTGTACTTTTCCTCCCATTGTCTGAAAACATAATTTCATATATAAAATTAAACATATTCTTAAAAATGTGTCCAGATCGTGTTTACTGTCTGAAATTCTTTCCTTAATGTGTGGATGTGCTGCATTGTGATACTAAATCAAGACATTAACAGGAGTAGAGAAGGTTGTTGAATTAGGATGTAAGAACCACTAAAAGTCATTGTTGTATGATTGTCTTTCTGGTGACTGTGGACATCGTTAGACATCATAGTTATTGAAGTACAACTTTAATGCTGTATGAATTTTGCCATTTTGTTAACATGAGTATTTTCTGTCACCTACCATTTCATTGGAATTACGTATCCCATTCACGTTCATTTCTGTTTCATTGACAGAGGAACTACTGGTTATTTAGCTCCACATTCTACTTTCAGGCTCTTTGTTCTGTTTTCATAATCTGCCCTTTGTCCCAATATCTTTGGCTGGTCTGTCTTGTGATGAAGATTTTCATCATCGTCAAGGCCCCAGCTAGCCATATCATCACCAACTTCTTTTTGGTCTTCTTCAAGTTCTTCCTACAAGCAAACATTACTGGAAACTTTTAATTTCTGCAGAGACTGCCATCTTTTTCTACATCCTTGGACATTACCCTGCACACACTCATTCCCTTATATGCTAACCCATGTAAGATTCTTCACTGCTCCCCAAACAAGCCTTATGCTTTCTTGTGTCTATCCCTTTATTCATGGTTTTGCATGCTTGGCTAGGAATACCCTATCTCCATCCCTCAAAATTGTACTTGTTTTTCCAAGGCCTGTATTGGATGTCATCTTACTTTATGAATTTGTCACTGATGCCCAGCAGTTAGATTCGATGTCTCCTCCAAAAGCCACAACACTTTGTATGTCTCAAGGTATTTAAGGTATTGTACCTTGAATTATAACTGTCTCCTGTCTTCTTGGAGAAGCCACATGGAAGGTTCCTTGAGAGCAGAGTGGTGTTACAGTTGTCTTTATCCACTGTATTGCCAGATGCTGAAGGGTGCAGTTGTTGAATTGATAAACTGCAAGAACTTTATTTTTATTTTATTGAAGTCATATAGTTTATAACATTGTGAAATTTCAGTTGTACATTATTATTTGTCAGTGACCATATATATGTGCCCCTTTACCCCTTATGCCCCCCACCCGCTTCCCCTCTGGTAACCACTAACCTGTTCTCCTTACCCGTGTATTTATTTATCTTCCACATATGGGTGAAATCATACGGTGTTTGTCTTTCTCTGTCTGGCTTATTTTGCTTAACACAGTACCCTCAAGTTCCATCCATGTTGTTGCAAATGGGACGATTTTGTCTTTTTTTTATGGCTGAGTAGTGTTCCATTATGTATATATACCACATCTTCTTTATCTGTTCATCAGTCCATGGGCACTAGGGTTGCTTCCAAGTCTTGGCTATTGTGAATAATGCTGCAGTGAACATAGGGGTTGCATAAGTCTCTCTGAATTGTTGATTTCAAGTTCTTTGGATAAATATCCAGTAGTGAAATAGCTGGGTCGTATGGTATTTCTATTTTTAATTTTTTGAGAGATCTCCATACTGTTTTCCATAGTGGCTGCAGCAGTTTGCATTCCCACCAGCAGTGTATGAGGGTTCCCTTTTCTTCAGGTTCTCTTCAACATTTGTTGGTTTTTGTCTTGGTAGTTATAGCCATTCTAATAGGCATAAGGTGATATCTCATTGTAGTTTTGGTTTGCCTTTCCCTGATGATTAGTGATGTTGAACATCTTTTCATGTACCTGTTGGCCATCTGTATGTCTTCTTTGGGAAAATATCTGTTCATATCCTTTGCCCATTTTTTGATCTAGTTGTTTGTTTTTTGTTATTGAGTTGTATCAGTTTTTAATATATTTTGGAGATTAACCCCTTGTTGGATATAAGATTTGCAAATATTTTCTCCCAGCTGGTGGGTTGTCTTTTCGTTTTGTTCATGATTTCCTTTGCCTTGCAGAAGCTCTTTAGTCTGATGAAGTCCCACTTGTTTGTTTTTTCTTTTGTTTCCCTTGCCCAAGTAGACATGATATTTGAAAAGATCCTTCCAAGATGGATGTCAAAGAATGTACTGCCTGTATTTTCTTCTAGGAGTTTTATCGTTTCATGTCTTACCTTCAAGTCTTTAATCCATTTTGAGTTAATTTTTGTGTAAGGTGAAAGATAATGGTCTACTTTCATTCTTTTGCACGTGGCTGTCCAGTTTTCCCAACACCATTTATTAAAGAGACTTTCTTTTCTCCATTGTATGTTCTTGGCTCCTTTGTCAAAGAGTAGATGTGTGGTTTTATTTCTGGGCTTTCAATTCTGTTCCATTGATCTGTGCATCTGTTTTTGTACCAGTACCGTACTGTTCTGATTATTATAGCTTTGTAGTATATTTTGAAGTGCCGGGGTTGTGATGCTTCCAGGTTTGTTGTTTTTTCTCAGGATTGCTTTAGTTATTCAGGGTCTTTTGTTGCTCCTTATGAATTTTAGGATTCTTTGTTCTATTTCCGTGAAGAACGTCATTGGAATTCTGATTGGGGTTGCATTGAATCTGTAGATTGCTTTAGATAGTATGGACATTTTAGCTAGGTTTATTTTTCCAGTCCATGTGCATGGAATATCTTTCCATTTCTCTATGTCATCATCGATTTCTTTCAATAATGTCTTATAGTTTTCATTGTATAGGTCTTTGACCTCATTGGTTAAATTTATTCCTGGATATTTTATTCTTTTTGTTGCGATTGTAAATGGGATTGTATTCTTGAGTTCTCTTTCCGTTAGTTCCTTATTAGAGTATAGAAATGCAACTGATTTTTATAAGTTGATTTCGTACTCTGCCACTTTGCTGTAATTGTTATTATTTCTAATAGTTTATTGATGGATTCTTCAGGGTTTTGTATATATAAAGTCATGTTGTCTGCAAGCAGTGAGAGTTTCACTTCTTCCTTGCCAATTTGGATACCTTTTATTTCTTTTTCTTGCCTAATTGCTCTGGCCAGAACCTCCAGTACTATGTTGAATAAATTCGAGTGGTGAGAGTGGGCTGCAAGAACTTGTAATATATCACATTTAGTGACTGATAATGAATGAAGAAATTTCATCAGACTTGTGAGAATTAAATAAACAATATATGTAAGTTACAGAGTATTTTATAAAGTTCTGTGGTTTGTATACCACTTGGATTTTGTGCTGACTAAAAGTATATCTGATCCTGAAACAGTAGAGATATTTATTGCTAGTAACAGGAATAAAAAGTATAACAAAAAGTGGACTAATCAAAATCTCTTTCTTGATAGAGTCTGTTTAACAAGTTAGTAGAACTCACTGAGGAAGCCAGGAAGGCATATAAGGATATGGTTGCAGCAATGGAACAAGAGCAGGCCGAGGAAGCCTTGAAGAACGCGAAGAAGGTGCCACACCACATGGGGCATTCTCGGAATCCCTCTGCAGCAAGTGCCATTTCTTTCTGCAGTGTTATTTCTGAACCCATCTCTGAAGTCAATGAAAAGGAATATGGTAAGTTGTTACATACCATTTTAAATGACTTAAATTTTGAAATAATTTGTTATTATAATCATTTTGAAAATGACTTTCCATGCTACCTTTTGTTTTTATTTTTATTCTTGATTATTCAAATTTTGTTTTGTTTTGAGAAAGTTGGGCCCTGAGCTAACATCTGTTGCCAGTCTTCCTCTCTTTTTTTCTTTTTTCTCCGCAAAGCCCCAGTACATGGTTGTGTATCCTAGTTATAGGTCCTTCTAGTTCTTCTATGTGGGTCACCACCTCAGCATGGCTTGATGAGCGGTGAGTAGGTAGGTACATGCCCAGGATCCGAACCGGGGGACCCTAGGCCACTGAAGTGGAACACAGGAACTTAACTGCTACACCACTGGGCTGGCCCCTCAAATTATGTTTTAAAAATTGCACTAAACATGTCCATTAAAAATTAGGAGAGGGGCCAGCCCGGTGGTGTAGTGGTTAAGTTCAGCATGCTCCACTTTGGCAGCCTGGGTTCGCAGGTTCAGATCCTGGCTGCAGACCTACACCACTCATCAAGCCATGCTGTGGCAGTGACCCACATACAAAACAGAGGAAGATTGGCACAGATGTTAGCTCAGGGCCATTCTTTCTCAAGGAAAAAGAGGAGGATTGGCAATAGGTGTTAGCTCAGGGCCAATCTTCCTCACCAAAAAATAAGAATATTTGGGACTGAGGCTTTCTGTGACACCTTGGAATTTAGTCACAGTTTCAAAATCTTAAAAAAAAAAAAAGTCCCAAAGGCATTTAAGAAGCAAAATGCACCACACTTGTGACCTGTAACTAAGTGAATTCTAGGATGTTTTATTCTAATACTTTAAACTCAATTACTAAAATTTTGTATTTATTAAGTAAGTGAAAGACCTGAATACTCTTCAATCTGAGCTTGTAAAATCAGACTGTGATTTTTGTTTTAAGTTAAATTTGATGGTAGTCAAAAAGAAATAGAAACTAAAGAATGGTAATTATGTGTAATGTTTAAAGTAACGTTATTGACTGCACTCTATAGCTTAGTAGTTTCCTTGCCTCCTTTCCATAATACTTTGAATTCTTAAGTTCTCCACTTCCTTGATCTAGTTTCTGATTCGTTTCCCCTATTCTTGTTTCTTTTTTTAAATAGTATAGCCACCTCCTTCATCTTGGCTCCTTGTTCTTCCTTCTCTTCTTTTATCCTTTTAATCTATTTGGCAGTTTACCAAATAGCTGTTGCCACCTAATATTTAACATGTAAAAAACTAAGTCCTTCTTTCTTCCTTTCTTCTCACACTCGCTTTCCTGGTCTCCCTGTCTGTGATTGTAGTTAAATGTTTGGAATTCTTTTGACAGAGCTCTAGACCAAAGGCAATTAACAAGTCATTGTGGGCCTTTAGGAAACTATTGGTCAAGGATAAGTGGTACTGGCTTAGAGGAAGAGAGGTTTCTTTGACTAGAGTGATACTAGTTGAAAATAAAGAAGATAAAGAGATTAAGTGCCAACTTCGTAAATAAGATTAGTTCTCTCTATATAGTGAAATGTCAGATCTCAAAGGCAAACTGTAAGATAAATGCGTAAAGCTGTGGGTTCAGGCAGATGACCGTGATCTTCCCGTGGACACATAAAAAGAAAAGTTACGAAAAGAACCTCTCAAAGGTTTAGGAGATGTTTTCAAAAATTACCAGATTTAAAGAGTTCAAAGATTGAAGCCTTGACGTTTACACTCTGCTTGGGGATTTCAGCATCATTGATTACTCTCTGGGCCTTACATTTCTCTTTAGTAAAACGAGGAGAGTTCATCTACGTCATCTGTAAGGTTACATTCAAAGCTAAAATTCTGTGAGCTAATGGTTGCATCCTAAGGAAGGGTTTAGACAGAACCTTAAAGACTCTGGCCTGATAAGCTGATTATCAGACGCCAACAAAATGAGTGGAAATAATCATAAATGATGTTGAGAGTAAAGCACCAAGTTATTCTGTGTATATCAGATGCATTCATCAGTAAACTTAAAACCCACTAATGTGGCCTAAGAAATTAGGGTATTTAGTGATTTCACAGCATCGTTGAGGTCCCTGGCTCTTTCCTTCCATTCTCAGTGGCTTCTTATTCTTGTGCTTATCATCTCGTGTTCATAGATAGTTCTGTGGCTCTGGGTGTAACAACAACAGTCAAAACCAGGAGGTTCAAGCAGTGTGCTCCTTTTATCAGTGAAGGAAACAATTTTCAGAAGACTCCCTTTTTGTTTCATTTGGCCAGAGCCAATCACATGACTACTCTTAGCTGCAAGGGAGACTTGGCAAAGGGGAATGGGATGGCCATGATAAGCCAAGAACTATTTAATTCACCTCCTGGGACTGAGTTCAAGTCCATCCCCAGTTTGGGGGATCTGATAGCTATGAAGAAAATGAGGAATGAATGTTGGGTAGACAACAGACAGTGTCTTCCATGCCATCCCCGTGCAGGGTTTCTGAAGTTTTTTTTTTTTTTTAATTTTTTGTTTATTGCAGAAAAATATGGAACGCTTCACGAATTTGCGTGTCATCCTTGCGCAGGGGCCATGCTAATCTTCTCTGTATCGTTCCAATTTTAGTATATGTGCTGCCGAAGCGAGCACCTGAAGTGTTTTGATTTCCACGGTTTAAAGAAAAAACAAAGCTGGGAAAGGGATGCTAATCACTGATAGAAGAGAAAGGCTTCTGTGATAGTCTAGTCTTATTGTCCCTGTGTATACCTTAATTGTTTCTTTGCTTATGTTTTCCTTCCACCTGAGCTGAGTCTCAGTTCTATCATACTTACAGGAAACAAAAGTTTCGAACATAAATCCCAACTAACCTGTAAGTTCTTTGAAAATAGGGACTTGGCATATAATGGGCACTCGATATATAATAATAATTAGCTCACTTACTGAATTCTTACTATGTGCTAGGCACTTTTCTAAGCACTTGACATTTATTAAAGCATTTTATCCTCTGAGCAACATAGGATAAGAAATATTGTACCACATTTTATAGATGAGAAGGCTAAGACGAAGAGAGGTAGATAACTTGCCAGTGTCACACAGCTGGTAAGTCTGACTCCAGAACCTGCCCTCTTAGCCAGTGTGATGTATTTTCTCTGTCTGTTGAATGAATTCTCAGCAGGACCATACAGTAGGTATTCAGTAACCACTTATGAGGGAAGAACAGCCTCAATGTCCAGTCCCCCCATCCTGGGTTTCTGCTCATTCTTTGCCACCACCCCTTCCTCTCTAGGCTGTTGAACTCATTTGTTTGTTTCTCTGCTACATACAACTGTCTAAAGATGGACAGCATCCTTGTGCATACTGGCTGAAGGAAGAAATACACACACATCCTCTGACAAACCCACTCGTGATTTGAAAGTTTAAAAGGCAGTTTCACAAAGAACTAATAAAACAGAAAAGCATAGAAGGGGTTAATAAGCAAAGAAGAGCTTTATTCAGTAAGTTCTGCTAAAATAAACAATTCAGAAGCAGGATAGGTTTGGATCAGTACTGATTCTAGGTTTGTTGAGATCTTTGCTCCTGCCTTTAACTTGTTTCCTAGTCCCTTCTTCAAAAGTGGACTTCTAGATGTCCTCTTCTGGCTTAGACTGCGTGCATTCAGTCCCCTACCCTGCATCAGATCTTTCCTGTTCCCTAGAGAAAGACGGCACTCTCATACCTGCCGTTTCTCTCTGTTGTGTTCATGTGTTTGCTCATCAGCTGTTGATCGAGCTTCAACTATTACTTTAAGGTGGGAGCCTGGACCGTCCCCTGTGGATATGTGACCTCGGTGACTCTTTGATCATTGTGAGGAGTCTCTTGATGGGTAATTGAAGAGTCCCTTGTCTCTGCTTCCAAGGTGATATCTCCCTTTCTTTTCTGAAGGACCCACCGGGCCTTCAGTCCCCCTACCTAGTAGATGACTGCCCAAGACTGAGCCTGGAGAGAGATCAGCCTGGCTGAGTCTACTGACCTCCTCCCTTTTTCCTGTTCCTCTGACTCATTCTCAAGGGAAAGCTGGAACTTCTTCCAAGACCCCAAGTGAATTTTTGTAGTACTTTTGAAGCAGGAAAAAAACTGTTGGAAGGAAATGTAAATATGCATCTAAAATTTTTAAAAATTTTATGCCTTTTTAAAGTTATTCTTTTGTATAATTAAATATATGTTCGAAAATTTTTATTTAATCCGCTTTTTTCCCCTAGCATTTGTTACATGCCAACCATAGGGACACAGAGATGAGCAGGACTAGGAGTGAGGAGGGATGGGGTGGAACATAAAACAGGTGCTTTTGAACTGTATATGCACAAGGTGCTGTGGGAGTTCAAGTTAGTGATTCTCTCTCTTAGGAAAGTCAGGAAAGCCTTCACAAAGGAACTGACATTTAAGGGTGGTTATCAAGAGTGAGTAGGAGTCTGAAGGGTAAGGAAGAAAACACATCTCATACAGAAAGAACAGCTTATGCAAAGCAAAGAATTGTGAACAGAGAGGCTGTGACTTCTGGGAGCAGTGAGGAATCAGTGACCCTGAGAGTGGAATGTGGGGCTGGGAGTCGGAAGGAATGGGACCAGAAAGATAGGTAAGGGGGGTCAGATCATGAAAGACTTGGCTGTGCCAAGCTAAGGAGTTTGGATCCTATGTTGGGGTCATAGAAAGCCAGTTAGACAGTGATGTGATCATTTCACAAAGCTAGTTAGGAAAATAGTGTAGATGTATAGCACCATAAAGAAGGCTTGAGCTAGGGCAATAGTGACCAAATTTAGTAATTTTTGAGCTAGAAGTGACATGGTCTAGTTATGAGTTCAGTGGAATAAAAGGATATATAGTAAGGGAGAAAGATAGGATCAAGTATTACTATGAAGTTTCTTCTGCTTGGACTGCTATGATAATGTTATTAACCGAGAATGAGACCACAGGGGGAGCAGATTTTTTTCATGAAGTAGGAGTGAGAGTGGAAAGACCCATTCTACACTTGAAGTGGCTGCAGAAAGAAAGATTTTTTCCAAACCATGTGCCCTGACTTCAGATGCCCAAAATATGATCTGTATCAATATACAGTTGATAGATGACAATCAAGTTGAATATATTAATATGAATAGGCTTGCTTTATCACTACAGCTTGGTCATTATACCAGTAAAATGCAAATAGCAGGTATAATGCAAATAGGAAGGGATTTTTAGTTAAAAAAAGAAAATAAGGAGGACTACATCAAACTAAAAAGCTTCTGCACAGCAAAGGAAACCATCAACAAAATGAAAAGGCAAACTACTGAATGGCAGAAAATATTTGCAAATTGTATATCTGATAAGGGGTTAATATCTAAAATATATGAAGAACTCATACAACTCAATAGCAAAAAAGCAAACAATACAATTAAAAAATGTACAGAAGATCTGAATAGGCGTTTTTCCAAAGAAGACTTACAGACGGTCAATAGGTACATAAAAAGATGCTCAACATCCCTAATCATCGGGGAAATGCAAATCAAAACGACAGTGAGATATCACCTCACACCTGTTAGAATGACTGTTAGCCAAAAGACAAAAAATAACAAATGTTGGCAAGGATGTGGAGCAAAGGGAACCCTTGTACACTGTTGGAAATTTAAATTGGTGCAGCCACTATGGAAAACAGTATGGAGATTCCTCAAAAAACTAAAAATAGAACTACCATATGATGCAGCAGTTCCACTTCTGGATGTTAATCCAAAGAAAATTAAAACACTAACTCAAAAAGATGTGTGCACCCCCGTGTTCATTGGAGCATTATTTAAATAGCCGAGATATGGAAACAGCCTAATGTCTATTGATAGATGAGTGGATAAAGAAGATGTGGTGTATATGTGTATATAATGGAATATTATTCAGCCATAAAAAGAATGAAATCTTGCCATTCGCAACAATGATGGACCTTGAGGGCATTATGCTAAGTAAAATAAGTCAGACAGAGAGAGAAAGACAAATACCATATGATTTCACTTATATGTGGAATCTAAAAAAAAAAAAGAGAGAACACCAAGCCCATGGAGACACAGAACAGATTGGTGGTTGCCAGAGGCAGGGGGTGCGGGATGGTTGAAATGGGTGAAGGGAGTCAAAAGGTACAAACTTCCAGTTATAAAATAAATAAGTCATGGGGTGTAATGTACAGCATGGTGACTATAGTTAATAGTACTGTGTTGTGTATTTGAAAGTTGCTAAGAGAGTAAATCTTAAAAGCGCTCATCACAAGAAAAAAAAATTTTTTGTAAGTATATGTAGTAATGGACGTTAACTAGACTTATTGTGGTGATCATTTTGTAATTTATACAAATATCGAATCATTGTATTGTACACCTGAAATTAATGTAATATTATATGTCAGTTACAAAAATAAGATGAGAAAAATAAAACACAGGAAAAAAAATTAGGAAAGTGGGAGAGCTGTCCTTCGTCTCCTGATTCCTAATACATTTTTTGCTCTAAACTGACTTCCTGTCAATAAAAATAATTTAGATTATAACCATTGTCTTATATAACAACACTTTTTTTTAACTCTGAAAGTCACTAGGTAAGCCAAGCCATGTATATTATAAAATAAAATTTCACAAATGTTAGAAATATTTGGATGGCTTCTTTGCTTATAAGAGGAAACACAAGTCCCATTACAGGCCGAAAGACAGATCTTAGGTAGCTTGCTGAGGGAGCACGATACAGACTTGTCAAATCAGAACTATTTCTGCTGTATATCTTGGCTCTGCCATCTGTGACTTGTGGATTTTTGAGCCCAGTACACCTCAAGGCCAAAAAAAAAGTTAGGCAGTTCATTGATTTTCATGAATATATGGGTTTTATATATGAGCGTCAGTGAGCTCCTGTTGGTATAAGATCCTTTGCCTTCTGAAGCATTAATATACTTGTTTTTGCCTCCTTGTTTCTTTATCTTGAATGCACATTTTTGAGAATTGTCTTCCTTTTATAACATTTAAACTAGTACTAGAATAAACCAGGTTTTTAGTTTTTCCAATCAGTTGGTGAGCCAAAAAATTTCTGTAGTTTGTTCTTCCCTCTTTTAAGAGTTACATGATTCTCAAACAGTGTTGTGGTTTTTAAAAATTCTGTTATGATATTTGCAGAAACAAATTGGAGAAACATGGTGGAAACTTCAGATGGACTGGAAACATCAGAAAATGAGAGAGAGGTTTCCTGTAAGCACAGCGCATCTGAAAAACCCGGTAAACTTCCATTTGACGCAGCCCCTGTTGGTAAGCAGCCATCGTTAGTGGCTGCAGGCAGTACTACCTCAGCTACAAACCCTGGGAAATCGACAGTGAGCGATAAAGAGGAAGTGAAGCCAGATGACCTGGAATGGGCCTCTCAGCAGAGTACAGAGACCGGCTCTTTGGATGGCAGTTGCCGAGATCTTTTGAATTCCTCCATCACCAGCACCACCAGCACTCTCGTACCTGGCATGCTTGAAGAAGAGGATGATGAAGATGAGGAGGAGGAAGAAGATTATACTCATGAACCCATATCTGTAGAAGTACAGCTTAATAGTAGAATTGAGTCTTGGGTTTCTGAGACCCAGAGAACGATGGAAACTCTGCAGCTTGGAAAAACCCTTAATGGTTCTGAGGAAGACACTGCAGAGCAAAGTGGGGAAGAGGGAGCAGAGGCGCCTGAGGTACTGGAGCCAGGGATGGACAGTGAGACCTGGACTGCTGACCACCAAGCAAGTCAGGAGCAGCAGAAGCCCAGCAGCTGCGGCTCGCAGCACACCGAGCACTCCGATTGTAATTGCACACCCCCCGATCTGTAACTCAGGAAATGGCAGCTCTCTCTCTTCTACTGTGTAAGGGTTGCAGCCATTATCTTTTATGCTTCATCTCAACGTTTTTCACTGTCTAGTATTTAATATATGTATTTAATTCCTGACAAATATTTTTGCAGCTGTCTTTTACTTGTTTTGTTATGATCTATAGCTTAGCTTTTAATTAGCATCTAAGTGTCTTTCTAAGAACTGTGTGGAAAATACAGAATTGTTTCAGCTTATTTTGTTATGGAAAACTGATTAAAAAAAGAGGATGACCATGTTTTAAAGAAAATAAATTTAAAATGCCGATTTAGAATCATTTTGAAAGTTAAAGATCAAGGTTCTAAGAGTAGAAGGAGTTACTGATGTTTGCTTCAAGACTGCACCTCCTTCCCTCTAATTTGTCTGATCAAAAAGTTGTTTGGGCTTCTTTAAAAGAGAACTGGAGGTAGAGTTAGAAAACTAAAAAAAAGTCTGAGAGTAACTAAGTCACAAAGTGTTTTGTGTTGAAAATTGATGCAACTATTATTTGGCCCACATGCTTATTTCAGAAGTCACTGATCATTTTAATCGATTAAAGTTGGAAGGGCTAAAACAGAACCTCTGATACTCAGGCTGGCAGAGGAGCCACCGTGATAGATTAGAGGTGGCCTTCTTTGTGGAGAGTGATAGATGTGTTTAATAGTGAAAAGTCACCCATGATAGGACCTTCCAGGTTCTGTCTTGTATTTGCTTCTTACTTACCTCAGGAATGCTCTTGTACATAGTCGTATTTACATAAAGTTAGGTAAGTTTTGACAGGTGAATAACTGTAACTGATGGTCTGACTGCATACTTTCATGTAAACTACCCAGAAACACTGTCTTATATTGGTGTGTTCTCTTGCATGCTTCTGATTTGGGACCCTCTGGATTTGAGATATGGATTTGATTGGGTATCCAAACTTGTCCTGAGTGAAGAACTGTTTCGCCTTCTCAAAAATTATATGTTTTGCCCCTAGCCTTGAGCACCTGCCATGTAACGCTGACCGTAGTTACAGAGAGGTCAGGGAAAGGAACTTGACACAACTTACAGTATGTATCGTGATAATCAGGGCTTAGAAGAGGAAGTTTTGAAGAGAAGAGAAAGTTGTTCTAATTGTGCTGAAACTATTAGATGATTTAGAGTGTGCTGATATGTGCAGATATTAAGTGTTGATCACTATTATTATCCCTGCCCTTCTCTAGGACTGTGTATACCTGCTTGGGAGAAATTAAACTTACTGAGTTAAATGTTTTGTTTGCTAGCCGGTTACCACCTGGTAGTGACCTCTGAAAGTTTATATAGTGGTGGGAGAATTACAAATTACCCATTTTTCCATCTTCCCTCCAACACCCCCCTGCCCAACTGACCAGCACACGCACATGCACGCCAGCTTTACACTTAGAAGTTCCCATAAGCAGGCACAGAACTGAAGAGGAGGGGTATCTTCCCTGCCCTGGTTTTATGGGGCAGGGCCTTGCCTCACAGAGGCAGGAGGGAAAAATTGGGCAGATTCTTTACTGAATTCATTGGGACCATTGTGCTAGTTTTGATGTTTTATAATGCTGGCATTTCGTTACTGGAGAGATCAGATTCTTGGTTGATGATTTTTGTGAATTGTGAAAGTATTTGTGAATTGTGAAAGTTTAGGAGCATTGCTGTGTAGAAAATGTCAGTCCATCAACTTTATTAGTGTGCTAAAGGGGGCTTTATTGTACTGTCCTGTCTAAACTGTTCTCCAGTATAGACTTCTTAGGCACAGAGTATCCAGTACTTAAAGGAATGCAGCATGTAAGGAATGAAGCCTCTGAACTAGTAATCATGGATTTATATGTGGCAGATCTTACTGGCTCTACACATTTAGAAGTGTTAGTTGGCTTAAAGAAATGATAGAGGTTTTGAACTACTGACAATCTTAAAAGTGAACTTAAAAACTTTTCATACTTTTTAATGGTGTAAATTTCCTTTTCTCGGTGTCAGTGATTCAGATAACTCTTGATCTTGATGGTAGTGGCTTTTCCAAGGTTTCTTATATTTTATATCTCTTCTGAATGAGAATCGTCATTATAGATTTTTGACATTTGTATCAAGAGAAGTTGAGGAAATCTTCAGAAAATCATAATTTTTAGTTTTGCTTTAGACTTCAGAAGTGGTCAGTTAGGTGTTCGATAAATGCTCTTGCACATGCAGTATCTTCTGCCAGCGAACCCAAGGGACCACAGCCACCTTTATATGCGACAGGTCACCTCTAGAGGGCAACCCAGAATTTATTAAAGGAAATGCTACTGTGTTGAAAGTAAGCTTACCTAAGTATTAACAATGTCTTTTCATTTGTTTCCTTTAGATAAATTCTGGGATTTGTGTATACTATATACAGGAGGAGGTGTGAAAATTAGGAAAGTGTCTTTTCTGGATCTGGGGGTGAGTGGCTCTTTGGAGACCTGGAGAGAGATCTAGTGGTAAGAGTAAGGGTTCATCATCATGGGAAATAACAACCATAGTAATTTTCTTCCTTAGTGTGTAGAGGTTGTTTTACTGGCAATAATTAATACTCAATTTCTATTTCAATACGGAAGTATATGAATTACAATATGAATTGCACTCCCAAAACTAGATTTCTGCTTCAGTAGGTTTGTTTGCTGTGAAGATTACTTCTCAAAAGACAAATGTTCATATTAGCTTAATTTTTGGTTTAAATATGTTTGTAAATGATGTAATATATTTCTTTTGACTAAACATGGGAAAAATAATGGGTGTTATACATTGAAAAGTTTTTAAAGGCTTTGACTGGAAGTCATTTTTGCAGAGATGGTATTTTATATGCTTCCAGTATTTGGAAAAGAATTAGTCAAAAGGAATTCACATAGTTTAAATATTGAGAAATTAATATCCAAATAATGTACTTGTCTGATTTCTTAATAAGCTGGGGGAGGTGGGTGGGGTGGGAATTGTAATGTGCAAATGAGTAGTGAACTCTACATTCATTTTTCAACTCTTTAACATAAAACTGTTAAATGTTAACACATTGTTACTTTAATATATCTATAAAGAAGTATTACTGTTTGTAAAGCTGCTGTTTGCTTAAAAAAAAAAAACCTCTTTCATTTAAGTATTTTCTGTATGTTGTGCCAACAGGTTAGAACATTAACTTATCCATTTAAAAACTTTATCTTTTCTTGATTTTAAAAATTTTCTGTGAAATAATTTATTTACAGACATCTTCCTCCTTCTTTGCCCCTTCCAACCTTTACACACATCACAGAATCAACCATTTGCCTAATCTGAAATCTGAATCCTAATTAAAGATAACAATTTAAACTTTGTTGGCACATCACATCTTAAAAGTATTCGTATTATTTTATAATTTAATTTCTAAATATGCCACATGAATTTATAATTTAATGTCTTAATTGTAATGCTCTAATAAAAAACTAGCAAAATTAGTATGAATGATAACATGAAGGGATTTTCATCTTGTTCTTTTGCTGTATGAAGGATAATTGTATCACATTTTAGGGGTAATAACAGCTTTTTTGCACTATGTAAATACTAGTGGAGATTCTTCCGTAACTAATAAAATGATTATTGAAATGTAGTGTATCCTTTCAGAATAGGCATTTAAGGAATTCATGATTTGCCCAACATGTAAGATAGAGAAAAAAAGAAAATTCCAGCTTATGTTATTGCTTAGTGTTCTCATGGGTTTGCCAAAGAAGGCTGTAAAATCTGCGAGGAGGAGTTATCAGTAAAAGTCTCCATTTGGGATGGTTGGTGTGATCTGTGGCATGGGCCTATGCATGTAGCCAGAGACCACCCTAGTGGTCTAGTGTCAGGAGAATGCTTCTACAGATTCTGTCTCCTTTTTATGCTAGTTACTCTGTGCCAGCCATTGTTCTAGCCATTTCCCAATATTAACTCATTTAATTCTCACAACAGTCCTGTGAGGAAATAGTGTTTCTCGCTTTTTAGATGGTGGAACAGTCATGGAGATGTTAAATAACTTGTCCAAGATCCCACAGCTGGTAGGTGGCAGAACTGGGATTCACACTCAGTCCCATGGCCAAGTCCATGCTATTACTCACTTGGTTTTGTTGTGTCTCAGCACAAAATGCTCAAAATATGCAAACCAAACAGTGCTTCCCTCAGGTGTCTTCTGAAATGTGAAATGTCCCAGGACTGAACTGATTACCTCAGAGACTGGATTTATCAAGACGTACCTGATCACTGTTTCCCTAGAGTATTTCCAGACCTTGTCACTATGTCACAAAAAAATGTGGGGAATCTGAAAAGAGTAGACTCATCTGTTAGAAAATAGTAGGATCACTCATTTTCATAATGACCTTTTTGGTGATCACAAACGGAAGGGCTTCCTCAGTTGTAGCAGAATGTTTCCCTTTCTTGGACCAATGTTTGTACTACTCCTGATAGAGTTCCTTTTCTAACAGTGATCAGTTTTCTAACTGACCAGAAGAGGGTGTGCCTGGCACCTGAAAACAGTCAAAGGCTACCATGTAATATTCATTTTTTTAAATGGCAAGAGAAGTATCCTGAACCATGGGCCTTGCCATAAAAGGTGCTTAGTTCTGAGTTAAAGCTCAGAACTCAGGAACCATACCGGCATCATTTCATTTTAGAAAGAGAACACCGTCTAGAGACATTTAGGTCACATGTTAAGTAGTTCAGTCATTTTAAATTTCTGAATTATCCTAGCAATTCAATTAACATTTTGGCTCCACTTGGGTTCTGGTGTTCTTAGGTTCTTTTTTTTCTTTTTTTTTTTTAGGGAGGAAGGTTAGCTCTGAGCTAACATCCGTTGCCAGTCCTCCTTTTGCTGAGGAAGATGGGCCCTGGGCTAACATCTGTGCTGATCTTCCTCTACTTTATATGTGGGACACCTGCCACAGCATGCCTTGATGAGCAGTGCATAGGTTCGTGCCCGGGATCCGAACCTGCAAACCCTGGGCTGCCAAAGCAGGGCGTGAACTTAACCACTGTGTTGCCGGGCCAGCCCCCTCTTAAGTTCTTCTGACATGTAGAAATATGACACCTGGCTTATTACAGGTGTCAGCCTTTTGGATCACGGGCTAAAGCATGCTCCGCTGGAGCTCCCACATTGCAGAGTTTGGAAAAATGGGAGATGTTTCAATTCTGGACCCAGTCTCAATTCCTACATTTTTCCCCATTCCACTCCTCCCATCTTTGTGACTGTTTGAGTAATTATGTGGCAATCCTCCGGCAAGCAAAGACATTTACTCTTGTAGAAATCAGTTGGATCACTGTGGCTATAACCTGGTTGCCTGTATCCAAGGTTCTAGTCTGGATGCAGAGGGTTGGAGCAAGTAAGATACTAAGTTGTATGAAATTTGGAGCTCCCAGCTGAGCATGGTGTTCTTTATCCAGTTGCTGAGGAATCAAAGAGAGTGCAACTTAAGTCAGTGAGCTATGGTTTGGGGCCTGGAGTAGTATAAGTTTCTGTGAAGGGGTGAGTGCTTAGTCTCAGAAGCATCAGTCTTGGCCATGGATTTGAATTACCCAGAGGGAGCAGGTAATAACCATAGCCTTCCTATGGTGGGACTCTGATCAGAGGCGGTGTTGAGTGCACCCTTGTCTCCTAAGGGAAGAGGGACGTGAGTAAAAGTGGTACCTGCTTAGGTGCACACAGATTCCCCAGGTTATCTTTGCTTCTCAATCTAATCTTTGTTTACCTGAGTTGGAGCACGTTCATTGCTTTGCAAACTCTCAGCTTGAGAATGGGATAACGAATTGAAATTGAAGCAGTTAATTTTGTTTGTTAGCTCTGGTTACGGGGGAATGAGAGAAAAGTTTGAAAATTATTGGTTTCTCAATCAGGAGAAATGTTAGAGGTCATCATCCCTGTCATTGCTCTTCTTCCTTTCGTTCTCCTTCCTAAAACCAATGTTGTAAGGTAAATGGCGAGTTTTTGACAAATGCTGTAATATTTGTAATGAGGAAGGTAAGAAAGATCTATCTTCCTGCTTTACAAATATTCAAACGCAATGATAGCCAAGAAAAAGGATACAACTATTTCTTTAATTTTTACTCTTTCCCTAATATTTAAGATGCACCGTTTAAACAGTTCCATCATCGTTTAGATAGGGGATCAGCAAACTATAGCGTGTGGGCCAACTTGGCCAGCAGCCTATTTTTGTAAGTAAAGTTTTGTTGGAACACAGCCACACCCATTCGTTCACGTATTGTCTGTGGCTGCTTTCATGCTACACTAACGGCGTCGAGTACTTATGGCAGAGACCATATGGCTCACAGAGCCTGAAATATTTGCTATCTGGCCCTTTACAGAAAGTTTGCCAACTTCTAAAATTGAGGTGATGTCCAATAGCACCTCATACTCATGTGATTTTCCCCCAGTTCTTCTTTTTATTTCTAGGGAATAAAATAAATGACACCTGGCTTATTACATAATAGGTATTAGTGGACTTTCCAGCAGAAGGAACAGACAGTGCAAAGGATTTACATACTAAAAAGGCATTAAGCTCTACCCAGTGGTAGAAGGCATATGGATGGGAGGAGCGCCATCAGAAACAAGCCCTGGGGGCCGGCCCGGTGGCGCAGCGGTTAAGTGCGCGTGCTCTGCTGTGGTGGCCCAGGGTTCGCTGGTTCGGATCCCGGACGTGCACCGATGCACTGCTTGGCAAACCATGTTGTGGCGGCGTCCCATATAAAGTGGAGGAAGATGTGCATGGATGTTAGCCCAGGGCCAGTCGTCCTCAGCAAAAAAAGAGGAGGCTTGGTAGATGTTAGCACACGGCTGATCTTCCTCATGAAAAAAAAAAAAAAGAAGCCCTGGTGCTTTGATAGTACAGGGACTTGAGAGGCCTCGGTTCTTGTTTCTCCATCTTCTACTCAGTGTGTAACACCAGGCAAGTCCCTTCATTCTTTGGTTCTTGGTTTCTCCTCTATCAATGAGGAATGTACTGGTTGAGTCAGTTACAAGATCCTAAAGCTTGGGTCCTCCCTGGGGAAACAGCAAGACCATTCTTTGGTGAAGTGTGATCATGAGTTGGACAAGGGCTAGGCACTAACCTAAGGCCACGATAGCCAAAGACTGCCGGCACCCTTAAAGTGGCTTAGTACCCAGAATGGGCTGTGGTAATTAAGCCAATCACCCAAGTTCTCTTGAAAATTTGAACTGGAGGCCACAGAAAGCGGATGGAGTAAGTATGCCGAGACAGTAGAGAGACCCTTAGAGCAACAGAGCACAGAGCTGCCTTCTATCCTGACAGCTTTGCATTTTTAGCCTGTTCCTGGGCCTTTGATCAATACTGTTTTTCTTAATTATGAAGAGCTTGTCTGTTCTTGACAACCAGCAGAGCCTTACACAGATGATCTTTAAGTTTTCTTCAAACACAAATGGTCTTATGGTTCTATGAAGAGAGGGGTTCGCCATAAATGCTTAGAGAACTTGCCACCTTCATGGTGACATGTGGTAAGAAGCAGTATTATGTCATGGTGGGTGGTTAGGGGCATATAGAATGGTCCCAGGACCACAGTGGGGATGCTACAGCTGGGACACAAGCTGGATCAGGGTCCTTCCTCCAGGCAGGGCTGTGAATGTGGAAGCCTTTCAGCAACTCCAACTGCCACCACCATTACCCCTGTATAGGGTGTCCAGAACCAACTGACCCAAAGCCTAGGATCATCCTTGACCCCTTTCCTTCTCACACATCCAATCTGTCAGGAAATCCTGTTAGTTTCACAGCAAAACGTATCCCGAATCCAGTGACTTTTCACTCCTTCCTGTCTTCCCCATCTCTCACCTGGATTGTTGCAGTCCTTTCCCCCTAGTCATACTGCTTTCACTCCTGTCCTACGGTTTGTTCTCAACACAACAGCCGTAAGGATCCTGTTACGAACCTAAGGCGATCATGTAACTCCTCTGTTCTAAACCCTCCAGTGGTTCCCATCACACCCAGAGAGGAAGCCTCCTTCCTTATCTGCAATGGTCCGCATGCACGTGCACTCACACAGTTACTCCTCTGACCTCATCTTCTACCACACCTCCCCCAACCCTTGCTCACTCTACTGGCCTCCTTGCTAGGTCTGGAACATGTCAAGCATGGTGCTGCCTCAAGACCTTTGCACTGTCTGTTCCCTCTGCTGCAAAGTCCATTCACCCCTCCTGCACCTCCTCTGAGTCTTTGCTCAAATGCACCTTCACAGGGAGGCCTCAAGGGAGTCAGGACTCCCCTATCTGAAATTGTAACAGCCCTTCATCATTTTATTTCCCAAACCTGCTCTTTTTTTTTTCTCCCCCATTTGCACTTATCCCCAAACTGCTTTTTTTCTCTCCTCGTATGCACTTATCAAGCTCTGACTTCCTACAGATGTATTTATCTTATCTCTCTCCCCCTACTAAGCTCTGTGTGGGCAGGGCCTTTGAGCTGTTTTGTTACTGCTTTATCCTCAGTGCCTCGCAAAATGCCTGGCACAAAATCGGTGCTCTGTAAATCTTTGCTGAATGAATGAAAGAAGGCTGAAGTAGGGAAATGGGCATTTGTAAGGCAGCCATGCTCTGTGCGGCATTTACACTCACACTCGCTGACTCCCTGACTAC